TTGTTGAACACTATTTGCAATTTAATTTTAATGCGGTGACTTGTCGGTTACGAGCAGAAGGTCATTTCAGGCTTCTATATTCTATAATACTATCAACAGATATCTGGATAGAGACACCTCGTCACATCAAGCTACGAGAAAGTATATCATCATCTTACAGAATTCTACTCGAACACCGCATCGAAATTCTTTTCACCCTTTTTTTTCTTCTTCCTCTTTTTTGGTCCCTTTTAGCTCTCCTCTTTTTCCTTTTCCTTCCTTCTCTCTCTCTCTCTCTTTTTTTAGCGGGGGCGGGGAGAGGCAAAGGCCTTTTGCCCCACCCCCATCCCGATCCGCAACTTGTTGGCGGGAAAATTGCAACTGATATCCCCTTTCTTTTATTTACTTCTTTCTCAATTTTCCTTCCCTTTATTTCCTCTTTAGTGACTGGAACCCTCAGAAACTAGTGCTAAGCGAGTCACAGAGAATTCATGATTTCAACTGATGCCTGTCAGTGCATTGTAAATTTGATTTTTCTTCAAATTTCATTTAAAAATCTTTTCATATTGAGAAATATGGTGCATTGTATGGGCTATGGTTGGAGCGTTGGATGCGTTGAACAGCGTTGGTGTATTTTGAGGATTTATCATATTCATATTCTGAATATTTTCAGCGAATTGGATAATATTGAAAAGGATGCAATTCATAGTTGTACTCGATAATTCTCACTTAACATATTCTCTCTCTCTCTCTCTCTCTCTCTCTTCCTGTCTTGCATAAAGAAAATATGAAAATAATATTTTGCCTTGATTAAGAAAAATTGAAATTTTATCAGTATTAAACAGGGAGAAGGAAAGGGGAGGAAATTAATCAAAACAAACATTGAAGAATGCAATTCAGTGTTCTTTCGTGATTCATAAGAATGAAAGTACATTAAAAGGTGAAATAATAAATTGAAGAGCGATGATAAATCAATTCTTTGACGTTGATTGATTGAATAAAAAATAATGAAACAATATGGTCTGAAGGTCATATATCTTCGAATATTAGAAAGTTTCATCCACCATCGTGTTGTTGAACACTATTTGCAATTTAATTTTAATGCGGTGACTTGTCGGTTACGAGCAGAAGGTCATTTCAGGCTTCTATATTCTATAATACTATCAACAGATATCTGGATAGAGACACCTCGTCACATCAAGCTACGAGAAAGTATATCATCATCTTACAGAATTCTACTCGAACACCGCATCGAAATTCTTTTCACCCTTTTTTTTCTTCTTCCTCTTTTTTGGTCCCTTTTAGCTCTCCTCTTTTTCCTTTTCCTTCCTTCTCTCTCTCTCTCTCTTTTTTTAGCGGGGGCGGGGAGAGGCAAAGGCCTTTTGCCCCACCCCCATCCCGATCCGCAACTTGTTGGCGGGAAAATTGCAACTGATATCCCCTTTCTTTTATTTACTTCTTTCTCAATTTTCCTTCCCTTTATTTCCTCTTTAGTGACTGGAACCCTCAGAAACTAGTGCTAAGCGAGTCACAGAGAATTCATGATTTCAACTGATGCCTGTCAGTGCATTGTAAATTTGATTTTTCTTCAAATTTCATTTAAAAATCTTTTCATATTGAGAAATATGGTGCATTGTATGGGCTATGGTTGGAGCGTTGGATGCGTTGAACAGCGTTGGTGTATTTTGAGGATTTATCATATTCATATTCTGAATATTTTCAGCGAATTGGATAATATTGAAAAGGATGCAATTCATAGTTGTACTCGATAATTCTCACTTAACATATTCTCTCTCTCTCTCTCTCTCTCTCTCTTCCTGTCTTGCATAAAGAAAATATGAAAATAATATTTTGCCTTGATTAAGAAAAATTGAAATTTTATCAGTATTAAACAGGGAGAAGGAAAGGGGAGGAAATTAATCAAAACAAACATTGAAGAATGCAATTCAGTGTTCTTTCGTGATTCATAAGAATGAAAGTACATTAAAAGGTGAAATAATAAATTGAAGAGCGATGATAAATCAATTCTTTGACGTTGATTGATTGAATAAAAAATAATGAAACAATATGGTCTGAAGGTCATATATCTTCGAATATTAGAAAGTTTCATTCACCATCGTGTTGTTGAACACTATTTGCAATTTAATTTTAATGCGGTGACTTGTCGGTTACGAGCAGAAGGTCATTTCAGGCTTCTATATTCTATAATACTATCAACAGATATCTGGATAGAGACATCTCGTCACATCAAGCTACGAGAAAGTATATCATCATCTTACAGAATTCTACTCGAACACCGCATCGAAATTCTTTTCACCCTCTTTTGTCTTCTTCCTCTTTTTTGGTCCCTTTTAGCTCTCCTTTTTTCATTTCCCTTCCTTCTCTCTCTTTTTTTTTTAGCGGGGGCGGGGGGAGGCAACAGCCTGGGAGGCAAGACCATTTCGTACTCCCCCCCCCCCCCCGATCTCCTTCTTCCCCCTTTTCTTTTCTTCTTCATCTTCTTTCTTTCCCTTTCTCTGCTCTTTCCCTTTCCCTTCTTTTCCTTCTCTCTCTCTCTCTCTCTCTCTCTCTCTCTCTCTTTTGCGGAAAGGGGGGGGGGGGGGGGGCAAGGCCCGCTCACCCCCGCTGGATCCGCGCCTGTATCTACATTATATCTACTAACGTTAGACCCTAAAAATGGATCTAAAAGATTGATTGACCTGGTCTCAGTGACGGGTAAACTTTTTTTTTCTCACTTACTAGGTCTATAACCATGAAAACCGTCTAATTTTACTTTAGATTTTCAAACAGTAACAGTTACGACCTAAATTAGGCCTAAGGCCAAGGGCTGTACTCTACATTTTAATAACAAATTTAACGTTAACGTTAGACTTAACTTAAACTGTTGTTTCTCTGTGATTCAAGTGGGATGGGAACACTTTTTTTTCAACAGCAACAAAAAAAAAAAATCTTTCCCCCCCCCCTTTTTTTTCCCTTTCTTTTCCCCCCCTGGATCCGCCACGGATCACGGGGATAAAGTATACAGCTATGTAACAAGTAAATTTCTAAGAGGGAAAATGCCGACTTAAATAAATGATAATGATTAAATACCAAGGAATTCAGGAGTTTCATGGTTACCAATTCAATGTAAATTTGTATTAAAATAAGAGCCCCCGTCAGCACTAAAAGAGCCCCCGTGAGAAGGCTCAGGGGGCTCTTTTTTGGGGGGGGAAGAGCCCCCGTGGACAAAAAATTAATTTGAGCCCTGATTATTAGAGAAAGAAGATGATTCGTTGTTCCATTCTCGACTCTAAATCCTTGTCTGAATTCAGTTTTCCTCCTCCCGCGCGTAGCGCGTAAGCTTCTGACGCTTCATTAAATTATTAGAGAAAGAAGATGATTCGTTGTCCCATTCTCGATTCTTAATCCTTGTTCGAATTCATTTCCCCCCTTCCGCGCGAGGCGCGGAAGCTTAGACCTTTCATAGTTTAATGAAATTATTAGAGAAAGAAAATAATTCGTTGTTCCATTCCCGACTCTTAATCTTTCTCTGAATTCAGTTTCCCCCTCCAGCGCAAAGCGCAGAAGCTTAATGTTTCATTAAATTATTAGAGAAAGAAGATGATTTGTTGTACCGTTTTAGACTTGTCAAAAATGTTTCTTTGTCTGCCCCTTTTTTTCGTCCTATGTCCTCTTACTGCCCCTACCGCCCCTAGCTACGCATGCTTTAAAGGGAAAATGAAACAAACATGATTGTGATAGCATACAATAAGGTCAGTAGAAATGAAAGGGGAAAAAAAAGATCTATTTATACACCAACCATGAAATAATCGCAACCGGGAGCGTCATATCTTAGTTTTGTGTTATCGGGCGAGGGCCGGGGCGTAGCGACCAAGCGAGATTTTGCAATGTAGAATGCTGAAATTATGCATTCTAGAAAATCCTTTAGTCCAATATGTACGTTCTTTCCGCTACATGTATATTTCTTTCTAGCTAAATATCTAAATTTCCGGGGGGACGTGTCCCTCTATCGGGCCCAGGATCACCGCCGCTGTCCATTATCACTACCAACATGAGTTCAAATATAAGCACAAGCGAGTTGGTATGAGCTGAATCCAAATGAAGGGCAAAATAAGAGTTGTGAAGCGGCCCTATACCGTTAATTTAAAATTTGACTGTTTAGTATATAGCATCTATTTGAAAGACATCCAAAATATTGTGCCCTTTTTAATTTTTTTCAAAAAGCAGGGGCTGTTTGTAACGTTTAACTTTGAATCCGTGGCTCGAGATTTTATGCGGCCGGCCCGGCCCCCTCTATTCAATAACGTTTTCCAAGCCTTCTGGAATGACCCCAAATCTCCCGATTACAGTTTTTCCCTAATATTCGTCGTTACTGTCACTTAGCGCCATTTCCTTGTCTTTCCCCCTTTCTCACCCGACTTTTTTCTTCCCCTTCCCACCTTCCCCCTCCCCCGCCCCCCCCCCCCACCCACTCAGTGTTATCTAGGGTACGCGCATGTATGTTCCCTCTCTTAGTTTAAAAGCACCCCTTTATCTTCGGTGTGTAAAGTCAGAGCGGGCCGGATTTGTGTGTATTACGGGCCGGACTTTGTTGCGTGAAAAGTAACCCTTTATCGGAAATTTTGGGAACACAAAATCGGTCCCTCCGACCCCGGAGTGGGAGTGAGGTGGGGGGGGGGGGGTATCTTCTTCTTTTTTCTTTCTCTCTCTCTTCTTTCTTTTCTCTTCTCTTTTCTTTTCTCTTCTCTTTTCTTTTCTCTTCTCCTTTTTTTCTTCTCTTCTCCTTTCTTTTTTTTCTCTTTTTTTTGCGCCGCCAATAGGGGGGGCCGCGGCCGTTTCGGCCCCCCCCTGGATCCGCCACTGGATGTAATGATTTCCATACGGTAGTGGATTACATGTAACACTATTAAAAACAGACCTCTACAACTAGTACGCACACGACCACTATTAGTCTGTAAATCAAGACCCCTTTTAAAAAAAAGCCCCAATCTGTGCCGCATAAAAAAATAACGCGGCCCGGCGCGACCGGGCGACGTGTTATCACTAGCTCGACGATCGACTCGACTCGTGAGTGAGATTGTGAATTCTGAAATTCTGTGCGGTGATCTCGTGCTGTGTAGGCCTTATTTTGGCTCGATTATGCCGTTGGTAATTATGTGTGGGTACCCGAGTAGCGGGAAGAGTAAACGATCTAACCAGCTCCAGTCATTTATTGAATCATCTACTGACAAAAAATGCCTTATCATTAACGACGACAGCTTTGGAACAGACAAAAACGATGTCTATGCAGGTAAGTGGTTGAAATATCTTGTCCCACGTATTGTATTCTGTGTTAGCTTAGTCATGTCCATATGCTATCCCAGTTTCTATCCACTCCAGCTCCAGTAAAGCATAGATATTAGATAGAGTCGATGCTAATGCATATTGACCTCTAGCACTGAGAGACAGGTATAATACACAAATAGGCCTACACACCACACACAGACTGCACACAATAGAACCGATGTGGCTGATCGGCAAATTTGACACTAGATCTAGACTTACATTTTCAATTTTTAAATTATTCTTTTCAACATCAGTATAGAAGTTGAAAATTGTATTTTACTGCTATTTAGGTGTCATCAATTAACACTAAAGTACTGATTTTGAGTGAAATCAGTTGAGTTCTCTCCACCAGGGGTTCTGAAGATCCTGTCTGAGCTAGCCTTAAGGGCTCTCTCGAAATGTTTTTTTAATGATATTATTCGAGAGAGCCTTAAACGGCTCCCATACCCCTGCACGGAGAGGCATGTAAACAAAACTCAAAAGTGGTCCAAAATCACACTTTCGCGCACCCGACCAATATTGGACAGTGGCTTTGATAAATTTTGTCCGAGTTTTGGTCTTAATTAGCGCTTTAATTTCAAAATCGGATCTAAAAATAACAAAATAAGAGCAATTTTCTTACCAGACCGATACAGCTCAGCTCCCTTTTCACGTGTACCGTGTGAATTCACGATGTCTACACAATGGTGATGACCTCTGACTAGCACTTCGTAAATGTGCTGCTTCCGTATAATGCGCTGAATAACACTCATACAGCGCATTATACGGAAGCAGCACAATTTACCCACAATTACGGAAGTGCCAGTCAGAGGTCATCACCATTGTGTAGACATCGTGAATTCACACGGTACACGTGAAAAGGGAGCTGAGCTGTATCGGTCTGGTAAGAAAATTGCTCTTATTTTGTTATTTTTAGATCCGATTTTGAAATTAAAGCGCTAATTAAGACCAAAACTCGGACAAAATTTATCAAAGCCACTGTCCAATATTGGTCGGGTGCGCGAAAGTGTGATTTTGGACCACTTTTGAGTTTTGTTTACATGCCTCTCCGTGCAGGGGTATGGGAGCCGTTTAAGGCTCTCTCGAATAATATCATTAAAAAAACATTTCGAGAGAGCCCTTAAAGCTAGTCTGAGCTTGATGTTCTTCAAGCCATGGGTCCTGACCAAATCCCAGCCAGACTTCTGAAGGGACTTGCCACCGAACTGACACCTGTGTTCACCTTATTCTTCCAAGTCTCCCTTAACCAGGGTGTCATACCGGATGAATGGAAAATGGCGAATATTGCTCCAATCTTCAAGAAAGGTGACCATAGCAAGCCAGAGAACTACAGGCCTCTCTCTCTGACGTCAGTGACCTGTAAAGTACTGGAGCACATCGTTCTAAGCAGCATCATGAGCCACCTTGAAGACCACAATATCTTGTCTGATGCACAACATGGATTCTGCAAGAAACGATCCTGCGTCTCCCAGCTTGTTCTTGCTGTCCAGACCTCGCCAAAGCCATCGATGACAGAGAACAATTGGTTATGGTACTCCTTGATTTCTCCAAAGCATTTGACAAGGTTCCCCATGGAAGGCTGTTACACAAGCTTCAATTCTATGGAATCCGGGTCTATTCCGGGAACACACACACACACACACATGGGTTTCTGACTTCTTGAGTAACAGGACCCAAAAGGTTGTGCTGGAAGGATCCATCTCCAACACCAGCCGAGTAACATCTGGCGTCCCGCAAGGCAGTGTTATCGGCCCAATGCTGTTTCTGCTCTTCATCAACGATCTGCCAGAATACCTGTCCTCAAACTCAACAGCCAGGCTCTTCGAAGATGATTGTATGCTACATGAATACAGCAACATCAAGACAGAGGAAGTCTTCAGGAAGATGCCCTATGTTTCCAAGAGGATCTTGATTCGCTCCAACAATGGGAGCGTGATCGGCTGATGAAATTCACCCATAGAAATTTCAGGTTCTCCATGTCACCAATAAACGCAAACCTATCATCATATCCTACTCCATCCACGGACATACCCTAGATGACAAAAATACAGCAAAGTATCTAGGTGTCGAGTTGCAGAAGAACCTCAGCTGGAAACACATCAACACTGTCACCAGAAAGGCCAACTTTACCTGTGCCTTTCTTCAAAGGAATATGCAACCATGTCCCAGATAGGTTAAAGTGCTGTGCTACAACACTCTCCTTCAACCAATCATGGGAGTACGCCAGCATCATATGGGACCCTCACACGCAAGCAAACATCAAGAAGCTTGAAATAGTTCAATGACGTTTTGTCCGCTTCATCTTCAATGACCACCGCAGGACAAGCAGCGTAGCAGCCATGCTGAACCAGCTCAAGTGGGCAACATTACAAGAACACAGGGCACAGGCTAAGGTGGTGATGATCTATCACATCATCAACTCGCTGATGGACATCCCACACACCTCCCTCGCAGTTCCTTTTGCCAGAACGCTGGTCTACTAGAGGAGCTTCTTCCCGGATGCTATAAGACTCTGGAACTTCCTCCCTCAGAACACTGTTAATTGTACCTCTGCTATCAAACACCTTCAAGCAAGAGGTACAAAAGACCCAGCTCCGCTAAAACAATATTTGTTTTTACTCGCACTCAGTTAACTGTACCTCTTATCAAACTTACAGCGTGTCCACACACAAAACAATTTATTTTGAAACTCTATAACGAAACATCGTATAAAGAATCATCGTATAAATTTCAGAGTGTCCACACACAAGAAACGTCGTATAAATAATCATTGTATAAATTCCAGGATGTCCACACACAGAAGAAAGTAATCCTGAAACTCTACAGCGAAATGTCGAATAGGTGCGCAGTTTGCTACTGCGGTCATGAAATGGAAGCGAAAATGAGAGGTCTGGTCTCCTTTTGAGGTCACGTTAAGCACCGCCGAGTTAGTTACACTAGTTACACTCCCCCTGTCCACACACAACATTTTCCGTGATTAGGCGTGATTAGGCGTGATTCTTTATTGAGTTTCAGTTCGAAACGATGCCCAAACCTGCGTTTCGTTAGACTAGTTTCATTATTAGTGAGCGTCCACACACACAATTTTCATCGTAAAACTATCGCGAAATGGTATCACTATCGCGAAACGGTATAGCTAATCACGCCTAATCACGGAAAATGTTGTGTGTGGACAGGGGGATTGTACACACATCTGCACTGCACCTCAACAGTACGACAGTACACCTGACGGTGGCCTGTACTGCAACTGAAGAAGAAGAAGTTTTGTTTGAAATGTTGCGAATCAATAAAACAGCTTTTAATACACAGCCAGGATAGTAATGCAGCTATGTGTGTTTCTATCCATTTGGTAGTTTCAAAACTTTTTCCTTTTTTGTTTCTGCTTTAGTCCAAAACTAACATACAAATGATTCAATGGTCTAATCCTGTCGCCCGTTTCTTGACACTGTCATAAGTAATATGTGTTTCTCAGGGACATATTTGTGAACTTAGAGTTAGACTTATTTATGACAGTTTTCAGAAACTGCCCCCTTGCCTTGGTCTCTGGTTCATTTGACTTCTTGTTGTGATTGTGTGCTTGTTTTCTTTTTCTTTTTTAATTTTAGAACAGGTACAACGTGTTATGTGGACCATTTCCCGCAGTTAACTAACACTACAAACTTCATCCCAAACAAAAAAACAATTTGAAAGTAATTTTCTTTATCTTTCATTACTTGCATAGATTCCAAGAAAGAAAAAGATGCCAGAGGAAAGCTCAAGTCATCAACTCAAAGGTAAAGCTCAGTTATAAATGTAATCAAGCCTTACACAGCGTTGACAGCAATATGTGGCAAATACTGAATATATCGCTTATATAAAAAATATATTTGGTGTTATAAAGACACTGCCAAATTGTCTCACTCCATTTCTCAGAAAGCTTCATATTGCTTTCTTTATGGTACATTTGTTTTTTATTGCACTTGTCTTGCCAAATAGGCAACTCTGTGAGGTATTTTGCAAGCTCCCCTCCCATTTACCCTGTACTAAAGAACTTCAAAAATGTATAGTTTCCCCTACCAAAATTTTCAGTCGTACATTCACCCTAAATATGATTGTTTCAAATATGTTGCTATACAACCCCTGTATGACAGAAATCTATTTCATCATCAATAACTAAGAAAATGCAGTTTATAAGATTTCCAATACAGAACAAATTGGAGAGGAGCTCGCAAGATACGTCATAGTGTTGCCAATTTGTGTTTTACTGATGACAGCTTCAAAAATGTGTAATTTTCCTTTTTTTGATATTGCTCAAACTTTCAGCAATTTGTTTCTCTCATTTTCCTGCTTTTATTGAAACCAACCTAATATCAAGGTGGACTTCCCCTTAAACTATACTTACAGTCTTATACATGAATGCATAAAGTAAATACTGATTAAAATGTAAAAAGAACAACTTTAGGCACAGGCTACCCAGAAGAATCATACTTTTCAGAGATATTAATTTTTCAATAATAATAACGGTAACAATAATAATTATAATAATATTAATGAAGATTATAATGATGATTATTAATAATAATAAGTATAATAATCATCATCGTCATCAAAATCATCATCGTCAATTTGTAGAATATTCTTGGAAGCACAGGCAGCAACATTCACCTACTTTTAAATGTTGTTTATGAAATATGAAATAGGGCCAAATGGCGAGGAGACACATGTAACTCTGGGATCTTGCTTCTTTAACACATGGTTACTCAGATTATATATATGACAATGTTGATTTCTTTCAGATTGCTTTCTAAAGATGATCTTGTCATTTTGGACTCCCTGAATTACATTAAAGGTAAGCCTGAGACGAGAGAGAGGTGATTTCTTTCAGATTGCTTTCTAAAGAGAATGTCCCTAGGTGTAAACATTTTCAAGAGTCCCATACTTGTTTGTCACACAGCCCAAACTACCCCAGTCCTGGAGTAGAGAGAATCATGTGATTACAACAGGCCTGATAAAAACCCGATTTAAATCGGTTTTCCCATTTTTAAAAAAATTTTCCCAATTTTTTTTTCTTACCAATTAAAAAAAAAAAAAAGATATTTTTTTTCTTCTTCCCTCTTTTATCCTGATTTTACAGATTTCCCCGTTATTTTTTCTAATCTTCCCTATTTTGCCCTATTTTTTCCCCAATTTTCTTACTCGAAAGGGGGGAATATTGTTAGATGCCATTTTTTCCCCGCGAATCCTCTTCCCTTTTTTTTACTCAAGGGGGGCGTGGTTGAGGGGAAAACAAAAAACCTATTTTTTTTTTAGTGCTCACTATCCCCCTGTTACAAGGAAGCCTGTCTGATTAGAGATGAATCAAGGAGAAAATTTAGCATTTTGATTTTTTTTTCTTCAATGTTTAGCTTAATATTGCATTCTATTCCAGATTCAAACTGTTTTTTCCCTAGGAAATCTGTACTTGGTTATTATTCCCACTATGTTTGGGTGGAAATGTGTGTTTGGATCTCTCACGAGGGAGGTTCATGATCCTTACTGTCATGACATAGTGGTTGAGGATGTGGATACTAGCTTTTACTAATTTCCCTCTGGACCAAATTTACATTTTATAGGAGACCCCCCAAAATGGAAAGTTATTCATCCCCAGACCTGAGATGTATTAGTCTAGATTTGTGTGGAAAAGGTCATTCTATTATTGTAATCCGGTGAGTTTATGATAACAAGCAGACATGCTGGGTGGGCATGGTTGGAGATTAACGCAACTAATGAATTTGTTAGGATATCCATCCAATGAAGTTATCTTTGGAAAAAGTAGCTTACAGCTTCAGAGAAAACTATAGATTTAATTTCCTTGTACGGTGTGGAGGAAATGTAAATTGTTCACTGCCATATCGTTTGGATTGAATTTTGACAGAGAGAAACAAATTATCCATAATAATATTTAGCTTTTATATAACCTCTACTACCTGGCAACCTGGCTATCTGGCTGCCACCGTCAGTTGCTGGCAATTGGCGACCACATCTGCATGTCTTCTTGTTGTCTTTCTCCATTTGTTTCTATCCTGTGCTAATCTTTTGGCTTCTGAATATGTGAGACCTGTCCATTCTTTGATGTTATCAAACTGCTGCTTTCTCTGTCTGCCTCTTTTTCTTTTTCCTTCTACTTGGCTTTCTATTATTTGTGCTGCTAAGGGGCTCCCACTGCCATGCAGAATGTGTCCAAAGTAACCCATCTTGAGGCGGGCCACTTTTCCAAGGAGATCTATTTCTGTGTTTAGTTCTTGTAGAACTCTGGGGTTAGTTCTTTTGTCCTTCCAGCTGATCTTTAGCATTTTCCTCCAGAACCACATTTCTGCTGCGATTTTCATCGGCTTTGAGCAGTGTCCAGCTTTCAGCACCATAAAGCAAACTAGCAAAGCACTCCAAACCAGGGTTTTGACCAGTTTTATTTTCAGGCCGGTTGACATGTTCCTGTCATACCAAAGTACATGCAGGTCAACCATTCTCTTCTTTGCTATGGCTATTTTTATCTTTATGTCACTGGTACAGCTGGCATCGCTGCTCTGTGTAGATCCGAGATATTTGAAGCTTTCCACATCTTTGACTGTTCCCCGTCGATCTGGATGCTACAATCGGTATCTGAGGTTTTACCAGCAACTAGGAGTTTAGTCTTTTTAACATTTAAATGCAAGTTTTTCGCCAGCATCGTTTACTGCATGATTGAGACTATCAATTCCATCTTTGGAAGATTCGAAAAGTGCTGTGTCGTCAGCATATCTGAGATTTGAGATGTTTTTGCCACCAAATTTAACCTCTCCTACCATTTAAAAAATATTATTAGGCCCTATTACTTTTGAAGTTGTTGTAATTAAAGATTTTTTACATGGTGTAATATTCTCTTATTTCTGGCTAGGTTTCAGGTATGAGCTGTACTGTGCTGTTAAATCATCTCAGACTCCTCATTGTGTGGTGAGTATTAACATTGCTCTGAGCAGGGATTTTAACTTTGGATTTAATGTTTGGTTTGGTTGTTTTTTTTACTGCACAAACCAAGAGCAACATTTGTTACAATGTATTGTTTTATCAGTTTTATATATTGATTCATGTTACTTAACCCTATCTAGTCTGGAGGGGGGGGGGGGGGTTTAGAAGCCCCCCTCTACATTTTTCGCGATAATTTTTTAACGCAATAAAAATCTTGCACTGAAATTGTATGCCTTTATTCTTTCGAGTCTTGCACATCTTTTGAAACAATTTTTTTTCAAAAATCGGACCTACCGTTGAGTGTCAGCCTGAAAATCGTTCATTTTTGTGATTTGTGTACAAAACATGGGAAATCTTATTTTTCAAAAAAAGAGATAAAACATTGGTTATTTGGTCTTGTTTATAGTTTGGGTGTTTATTTTGGGGGTCAAAATAGTTGGATTATAGTTAGAAATGAAATAAAACAACAATAAAACCAGGCTATGCAGCTTCACAATAGCCCAGAATAGATAGGGTCAAGAAAGACAATATGTTTCTATGTCAAATGAATCTTAATCTCTTTACAGCTCAAAGTGTATGAATTAATGTCATGTTTTTATGTGTTTGTTGTCTCGGCCACTATACATTTCCTTGCACCATTGTTTTATACGAGCTGGAGACTAGCTAGAGGCTGCAATTTCACATTAGCAATCATATTGATTTAGCATGCACTTTTTATTTACAGAATAAGATGACAAACTTATACTGGTAATAGTGAAAATAATACATGACCTATGACTAGCTGTCCAGTAGTCTTGAAACAAGGCCACGTGTCTGATAGACGCCGAGCGACTATAACGAGAATAATCGTGAAAACCCGAGTGAACGACAGTGCGAGTAGGGCATCCAAGTAGCCTTTAGCAATCAAGGTTGGATTTCTTATGTTAACCTTCGTTTCCGACTGGAATTCTCTACCAAAATGGTAGCGTCCAATCAGCGAACGTATCCTTGCATATAGTATCCATCACACACACACACACACACACACAGTAAACTCTACGTAGTGCGAACATGGACCTAGCTACTATGAACTAAGAATAACATACGGGCTAAGACCACTGACCTCTACATGGAACGAAAACGAGTTGAACTGGTGCATTTTAGGGAAAGTCCAATTATCTCACTTATGTTTGTTAGCATAAGTCATCAAATGCTTCCTATTTTATTGTAATTTCGCCTGTAAAATAGATTTGAATGTGATATTTTGTATCTATCATTTATATGTTTATCTCATGAGCAAAACTTATTTACATCTTTTACCTTTTCTTTATACATGTTTTGATAATGAACGAATCAAGAACGAAGCCAACTGGGAGATGGTTCTCCTGATTGGTCAATAAATCCAAAGTAATGAATAATTCATGCAGAGCAGTAAAACCTACATTGCAAAAGGCCTCATGGCTACCGCCATTCGATTGCGTGTTCACAACGGGTCCCTAGATTCATCTCAGCCGCTGATTAGGGTGGAAAATAGCCAAAAAAAGAGTCATAGGCCTTGTCAGAAGGCTAAATCCCCACCTGCTGCGAGCCGAAGATGACATGATCCACAAATCCATGTTACAAATTGTTATTTTTTTACATGTATTTTTTTACATCTTTATTCTGTGAATAAAAACCTTCACCCCACATTGCAATTATTGTAAGATTAGTTGAAAATCTCATCAATTTACTTAATACCCAGGTAGGGATTATGTAAATTGAATATTCAAATACGGCAATTCCTGTTCACTCAGCAAATCATGAATGTATTATATCACCCTTAAAACTTTGTTTAAAGCTCCAAAGGATTTACCTCTCACAAATTGGAAGGCTAATTCCTGCGCAACCTGAATTTCATACCCTTTACAAAAGTGAGCAGTGCTCACCCAAGCATGAATTATTTTTGGACTCTTTGGTGTCATATGAAAGTTGAGTTTATGAGCTATCCATACATATAAAACTTTTCCCCCCCGAATCAAACATTTTTTATTCGGCAACCATTTCAAAAGTGTATAGTTTTTGGGGGGACGCACGGCATTGTAAAGTTGTCTTGTTTTATTACTTATTTCTACCTCTATTTCTCTGGAAAAGATTTTCTGTGATACTCCTGTTGAGGTGGCGACAACGTGGAATTCAGAAAGAGAGGATCAGGAAAAATATACAAAGGAAATGTAAGGTTTTTAATTTTATTATTCATAAGCATTTGGAAATCAGCAGAATAATCCATCAATTATTCCAGCTCGTAATGTAAAATTTAGCAAAAATTATCTTTCAATTTAATGGGATGAGTCAAGTAATTCTTTCTCTTTTGCAACTTTTAATCATCATGTACTTAGGCATTGGATTAGTAAAAACCACTGGGATAATTTCAGTTAAAAACACGAATGACAACTTGTTCCTTATGGACATCGAATCAGTTGGGTTTATCTTTTGGTTATAAAATGCTTTCATGTTTGGTTTATCTTTTGGTTATAAAATATTTTCATGTTTGGTTTATTTGACCTACTGGTCATCGAAAACTACAATTTTACTTGATATACTTGTAGTTCCATGAAGAAAATGGTAAGTTTTCAGTTCCCATTCATTTGAGGTTATTCATAAACACTATTTTCTACCGTAGTTTGTTATATCACTCTACTCATTCAACCAGTATGTGGAATGGGTAAAAGTATGTGGTACTTTAAGAAATGTAATTTTGTTTTTAATTATCTCATATCCAGTTGATCTTACTCCGGTTCAATTAACCTAGTTCAGATATGATTGAATGCCCTATTTGGCATTCATCTAGACATAGGAAGGACTTGAAAGAGTAAGTTCTTCTCGGTGAACAGTAATTTAAAACAATTTATGACCACCCCTGCAAAATGCAAACTTGAAAATCTAAACTTATGAAGCATTGCTTCATTGGGTTACCACACATTCTATTGTTAGCAAATAAGTCATTTTTTGCTGAACCCTATTTTGGCTAATCAACATTCAGACTTAACAAAAAAGAAGCTCTATAATGGCGGGTCCTTTTATCAGGGTTCCTTTTATTCTAGCTTTTTTTTCCCCATGCTGCATTACAAACAAATATGTCATACAAGTCGCGCCTTTGCAATAAAATTTTAAAAAGACGATAGGGACCACTGTAAAATACAGGTTATGTCATTATTCATCGAGACGTTTAATTCAGGCTCAGTGTCTGGAAGAAATATCAAAATTCCAGGTGATCTTAAACTTTGTCAATGACCGACATACTAACGTTTTATCCCAAGTTATGTTACAGAAAGCTTCATTGCATTAAAGCAGGGCTCTAGTTGCTTGATACTATTTTCTTTTTCACAGGGATCTGCATTGCCATGTTAGGATCTGTATGCAGTGGCCCCATGTTAATAACATTTTAGGATCTGTAGCCAGCTGTTAGGGGACCATATGTCCAGCGACTCCAGCCCCGGTGAAAGAAATGGGAACTCTTGTTATGGTTCTGGTAATTTCCATAGTGATATCCCTTCTACCGGTATATTTATTCTTTCTGTGGTTTCACTGCTATGATTAAAATATTATTCCTTGTGTTATTCTCAGGCCTGATAGAAACCTGATTTAAATCGGTGTCCCGATTTTTTTTTTTACCAGATTTTTTTTCTTCTTCCCTCTTTTATCCTGATGTTACCGATTTCCCCGTTATTTTTTCTAAACTTCCCTATTTTCCCTTATTTTTTCCCCAATTTTCTTACTCGAAAGGGGGGAATGTTGTTAGATGCCATTTTTTTCCTGCGAATCCTCTTATCTTTTTTTTTACTCAAGGGGGGCGTGATCAAGGGGGAAACAAAAAACCTTTTTTTTATTGCTCACTATCACCCCTGTATTCTATTTGTTTTTAGATTTGATGGTTTGGTGATGAGATTTGAGGCTCCCGTCTCCAAGAATAGATGGGATTCTCCTCTGTTCTCCATAGCTCCTTCAGATGAACTGCCATGTCAGGAAATATACGATGCCCTATTCCTCAGGAAAGCTCCTCCACGTAACTTATCGACAGTGTCTGTAAGTGATAGCATCCATGTCATTGTGGTTGGCAGTAGATTGAAGGAAAGAAGGAATCATGAAATATATGTCACAAGAGAATCCCTATGGCAATGCATTTTGGTCTCGTAGGCTGTGAGTCTCATGGCGTGCAGCTGATAATTTTACCTGTACTTGTATTTGATGAACAAAACTTTTGGAGCTTCTAATTACTGGAAAATGGTTTGGATTTCCAAAAGTTTGGATTTTTCATACTGCATGCATTATAATACCACAGTTAGATCATGTGGATGTGTGTGCTTGTGAGTTAGTGCTTTTCCCAGTGGCCTTCATCATACGAGCCTTTGGTTTCCATCTTTGCCTCTGCATTTCTAAACATCTCTTCTTTTTTTCTTGTCTTGTTTTGTTCAGGTGTTTGGTGGTAGAAAAAATATTGAATTATGCAATCTCTTGAACATTATGGAAAAATGTACCTAATTGTTGGATCCAAGTCATGTTGTAGTATAGTATTAATGACTGCTTTGAGAGAAATAGTTGTTTTTATAGGGAAGGTTAAAATTGTGCTATTGCCCCGAGGCCTGCCGAGGGCAATAGCCCAATTGTAACCTTCCCGAGAGCGTATAAAAACAACTATTTCTCGAATATTAAAGCAGTCATTAATACTTTTATATGCCGAAAACAAAAGAGTCAACTAATGACACCACCTTGGCCTTTCTCTAGTTTATCTGCACGGTTGTTTTTTATGAGTGTATCTTTGAGAGTAGACTAGATCTAGATTCTAGTCTAAGCAAGATATTTTTACAATTTTGGGGGTGGGCCGGCCCTGTGGGGAATAGAGAGAAGAACCTGCGCTTTCATATGACACCTCACTTATTGAGTATCACCTTCAGGATCACAACAGATAAAGGTTTGAATATCGAATTGAAAAAAAAAACTTGACTTTTTTTGCATGGTCGCGCAATGCACGTAGACTGCATAGAGACTGCATTGCGTGTAATCTCTATGGGAAGAATTTCAGCACACAACATCGGGTGCGCGATCAGAAACCCTGACAACTAGATCTATTTTCGTCTACGTCTATGCTGGTACTCCATTTCAGCAACTAAACGAACATGTTTATGGATAATTTCACGTACCTTTTTTGTTGTTCGTGCTGTCAGCGAGTCTTGCATTTGATAAGTTGAAATCTTTGGACAGTTTCTTTAGCCATTTTTGTCTTGTTTGGAATTGTCTTGTCTTGTATGAAAATACCGACCAATTCTTCGCACACGTACGGTATCCTCGATCGCTCAAACCACTTTTTAACATGTAAACCTATGGGGTAACCATGGAGACTGAACTATTTTCCCGGTAACCATGGTTACTGGGATTTTAGAACTGTTTTAACCATGGTTACTGGGAATTTTACAGAAATAGTTAAAGTTTATGAATGCAATTTGGTATATAAATTTATATATTTGAACTTTGTTTAGTTCTTTGTGATTACCATGCCCTGCACATGTTATCGTGTTATTATTATTTTTATGTTTGGAAATGAAAATAAGCGCAATAAATGACATGAATAAATCATATTTGTTACTGATCTTTATTCCTTTTCTTTCTTTTTTAGCAACCTCTGTCAGCAACTAATTTTCTATATGAACTGGACAAGAGAACACAGGAAGCAGTGACGGTAATGACTCTCAACTCTCAACCCACTAATGCTACTTGATTTGTTAACGTAAACGTTCAAGAGCTCAATCCTCAATTTTTGTTATCATTTTGTTTCCTTGAATACTAGGTTTAATATCTTATATCATAAATCCTTATGATTTTTTTTTTCAATGCATATTCATACTTTTTCTTAAGTTAAGGATAAATATAATTCAGTACATTCATATCATATATTAGAATACTTTATTTGAATAAATCAATTTTTGGTTTAAATTAAAGCACAGAAAGTTTAAGCCCAATTTCATTGAAAATCTTATTAAAGAAGTTCCTGAAAATGACATGCCAGAGCCTGATTGGATATGTCTTTGCGACACATAAAAGCTCATGGAATCGAATGCGATTATGCCAAGCATTGACAACCATTTTACTGATGATATAAGGAAAGGCCAGGATTTTGTGAAAGGAATAAGAAATGAAGTGGCATGAAAGATTACATTGTTTCTCGAGTATGTTACATAATAATATTTATGGTTCATTCATGCATACCACAACAAGACTACTGTAAAATTAGAATCTCCTGCACAAAAGTTAGCAAATTTTGTGAGTGTGAGTGAGTGTCATCCTGTGAAACCATGGAAACAATTCAATTAATGTCTTGAATACTATGTTTGTAGAACCTAACCTTAAAATCGACACCTTGAACTCCTAATTTGAAAGAATTCTTCAGCAAAGAATAATTATATTGTTTATACATACTGTTGAAGTTTAACTTTTTCTGAAGAGTTTGAAAGTGAGTTTTAAATATTGTCATATCGATTGCAGAATTTTGATTAAAATTAATTTCATTGATCAAAATATGTCCTAATGTCCATTTAGAGATCGGAATACCTGCCAACCCTTGCGAATAATCCAGAATATTAAGATTTTCTGGATTTGTAGGACCTAAAAATGCAGAATATTCAGATTTGTCTAAATTGCGTGCGTTGAATGGCTGCATGATCGAGCAGTGAATTTGTATTTGCTTTTTGGTACAGATTTACTGCGTATTGCCAGTTACACTGCTGCTGCAAGTGCAATTTCTTATTCTCGAAGGCATATACCGTGCTAAAAATTCCTAATTCTTATTTTCAAATGTTGGCAGGTATGGATCAGGGATTTGTATGTAATATTGTATTACCAGTATGTTCTGTTTTCTGCCGTTATTTTCATCAACAGACTCTGATGAGTGCACAGAAGACCAGCATACCAGGGGATGATATTTCAATACCAGGAGCTAAGGACAAAATATCCTTTTTAAATATGCACAGGAATATTGATAAAATGACTTCATGTTGAGATGCTGATTACTATTATTTATACATTATATTATACATTATTTAAATCCATGTATTCTTTGTTTATCATCCTTAACCATGGTATGTATACGTTCATCTAGCAAGATCAATCAACAATGCCGAGCTACAGAGGATAAGGAGGCAGTTCATCACCTACACCAAGCTACATGCAATAGAAGATATCTCCATGCTTGCAAACATGTTTGTCCAGTACATCAATAACAGTATTAAATGACCATGGGACATCTGGACTGAACTGTACTCATATTTGCAATATATTTAAAGGAAGTTTTTTAGAAGTGTGCTGAATTTTTTCAACCAGGCTTCTTTAACTGTTTGAGGTATATGAGCTCCACTATATTCCTGTCAGTGATCTGCTGGCAAAAGTGATGTAACGATGGTCCTGACAACACCAGCTTGGCCTGAAGAAGCCCTCATTGGTTAACTATAACCAGTACTTGTATTTTCAGCCGATGATTAGGTTCCGACAAGTTCACCTCTAGGATGGTCTTCTATTTGCATTTGCCTTGCATCCAGGTATAAATGTAGATGCAAAACTAATGTAACATTTACAATGGCATATTGGTGTCATGAGGTCGTGGTCTGGTGGAAACATCACTGGACTGTGGATCACATGGTGCATGGTTTGAGTGCTGCAGCGGCACTAACATCTTTTGATATTAATCAACATTTGCCACATTCTACCCAGGTGAGGTAAATGGGTAGAATTTGTAAGAGATTCCTTGAATGTTTGAGCGCCTTTTCATGGTAGCATGGGTAAAGCCAGGGTAACAATATGATTGCAGAGCCCTCAGGGACTACACAGTATTAATACTGAAGAGGCTACCCTGAGTAAACAGGACATATTATTATCATTATTATTATTATCGGATACAGACACTAATTCAAGGCTTAAGAATAAATTCATGCAAGTTGATTTTAAATATTAAGATTTGTTACTTCTAAAGCAACTATTAAAGTGCATCTTAGAAAAATCAATATTATTATAATCTATGGCTTATAAGCTTTCCGTTGATATATAATTCATCATATTTTATTTTTCAGTTTGGATATGGTTTTTAAACACAAAAATATAAATTGTCTTGATTGTTGATGAAGGAATATCATCATTTGGAAAAGAAGGGCATTCAAGAATATATGTGTTCATCATGTATTTGGTCACAGGCGTAAGAAAATGGTAATATGTGAACATTCATGCCCTCAAAATGCTGAACAGTGTTCAACGGTGATCAAGAATGTAAATGATGTAACTCAAAAAGTATGAATAGCTTATCGGTATGTCTGTATAGATTTCTCATATGTTACTCATAATTTGTGCTAAAATAATCTATTAAACTTGTTTTGATAAAAAAGAATAACTATTGAACAATTTTCTTTTATTAATACAAGTATGTGATATACATATGCAAAACAAAAACAAGAATGAGATGAAAGAAAGTGTCACAGAATGAGAGAGAGAGAGAGAGAGAGAATTAAAACAAAATGAAAGAGACGACACTAAAGATACATGCAAAGAGAGAGGGATATAATGAGACTATGGATAAATGAAAAGATAAAGAGATGGAAAGATAGATACATAAGGTGACATAATATGGCTGAAAAAGAAAGAAGAACAGGAGCATATATAACATATACATGTAATGAGATCATAATGAGAAAAGTCATATGTACTTTCAAAGAGAAGGCAATAAAACAATGATCTCACAATTTGTTATTTCAGATGTTATTTACAAGTTTTATTTTGATCCTCCTTTCACATAAGAGATATTTTGGAACGTTGCATACAAACATATCAAAGCAAAATTACAAAACATAAGTATCATATCCAAACAGAAACTCTAGCAAATGTTAGGGCTGTACTCTTTATGACAAACATTCCTCCAGTGCTCTGTACAATCATCAAACAAAAACATGGATAAGATGAGACTGTTGTCACAATAAAAAGTAAAAAATTTAATCTTCGCATACACTACTATCAAATGGGATAAAATATGTGCAGCTTATGTATAAAGGAGGGTAAGGTATGCTGCTTGATATTGTAGTGTTTCTTCTCGTTTTTACACTGAATAGAACTGAACACATGTCCTAGAATAATCAATTTAGTTCTCAGAATGATCTAAATAAAAATACAATTGTACATTTCAAATGATGTCGTAACAATCTGTTAGAAAAACCCTGAAAGAGTGAAGTTAGATTTACTACCCTTTTCTTCACATATCAAGTAATTAGAAATCAACAGATAATAAATCTGACATTTTGCTTGTTTGTAAACTCGCGTAATGATGCAATATCTTGACAAATTCATAACAAGAATAATCTGCCAAAATAAGAAGAACCCATAAAATTTAAATAAGGACTCTTTCGTAAGGTGCTGATCCGGAGTGGGAAAGGCCTACAGAACTACATCGCCGTATAGATCCACAAGTATACCACACATTAGTGAGCAACAAGATAACAGGAAGCATGCTTTCTTTGTTTCCTACATGTTGCCCAACCAAAAAACAACCAGAAGAGCAATCAAAGAATAAAACAGAAGATAATGCGTGCACCATCCTGGATCTATATCATAAATACAACATTTGTAATCCGCATACACATTTTTTATACATCAGCACAGTGATGAAACCTACCTTATACGTTGTATTGGTGGGTTGAGTTAGGAGAGATGAGATCATTCGATTCCAACTGGAGAAACAAGATCAAAACAAAAAAACTTCAAGGCATACATGATTTCTCCATGTCATGTACATTGCTACAAGAATCGTGGCAAACACCTGGTAATACATTTCAAAGCATCTCAAATTTCCAGCTCCATTACTCCAAAAAGGGATTGTTATGTTTTTAACGAATGATGTAGCAGATGGTACTAGAAAATTATCAAATATACCATATTAAGAGCATGATCATGTTTACCAAAGCAATGCCCATTTAAAATAAAAACTAAACCGCTTTGACTGCTTTACATCACTTCTTTGTTGTATGCTTGCAAGCTTAAATTGGTTCAGAGAAACACTATGAAACCATCAGCATAAATTTGAGGATAAATGTTTGTATGATCCACAATCTTGCTACAGTTCTTAAACCAATTATGACATGCATGTCTTTGAGACATTAAACAAACAACATCCTCTCTTTAGATATTCTCCATTTTGGTGTAATCTTGCCACAATTCCAAAGTAATGTACAATCACATCTTGCACTACGTGTTTTACAGTTGTATGTAAATGAGAGTACTCCTCCTACTTCTCATGCACCTTGACACGTACCCCCATTAGTGACATCAATTGCTCGAGTATAATTGATGAACTAGTTTCCATATATATTGTACTTGATCAGGGCGTTTACAACCAAACTTAATGACCAACCACCCCCCCCCCCCAACAAAAAAGAAGAAGATAACAATATCTTATCAACTTCGCATTTTGTCGTTTCAGATGAATATATATATTTAAATATATACATATAATATATATGCATGTTTGTATATAACCAATAAAAAGAGCTACATTTGGAACAATCATGCTTGTAGTGTTAATACTTTACACCTTAAGAGACAGGGGAAAGGAATTACTTTCATCGTCAACTGATATTTTAGTAAGCTAAAGTACCTTTTTTTGATTTGCATTATTCATTCCAGGAAAAGAAGTACAAAAATCTTGCAATATAGATGATCAAAACATCACATGGCTATTTACTAGATATAATAAGTATGATCATTACTTATATGCTCTTCCCTTCAAATAAAAATTCAATCAAAAGGAAGAGCCTGATAATAAGGAAAAAGAAATAAGGAATACGTTTTCTGGAAAAATTACTTTTTTTTTTTTTTTTTTTTACATAAAAGGTTGTCTACCTTTTCATCAACTTTTACATCTGTTTGCGGGTCAGTAAGATTCTAACCCATGGCAGAAGTACACCAAAATTATAAGCTAAGTAATTCTTCAAATTCTTCAAGCTTTTTATTTTTTGCAGTTTTAATTGGCTTGCTCTGTTTAAAAAAAAAAATCTTATAAAGATTTCTTAAATGTTTGAAAGACTAACACCTTGAAACCAAAAGACCACAGACATGCTATACTACACAGCACCACCTTTATTGATGGAGACATGTCAAATGTACAAAACATTAACATGGATAACATACTTAGACTCGACTTAATAGCAGATAAGACTCGTTACCAGAGGAGTGTTGGCTTTATCCTGTGGCCTGCCTGCCTCAACTGCCGTAGATTCATATATCTCCATTGGCTTGAGAGATAGAAACAGAAACAGCAATAAAGCATGAAAGTACCTTTGCTCTAGATACAATGAAACACAATCTCAAAATGGGATCACATCGTCTATGGATAACTTTCATAGAACACCACTACAACTTTTGGATTTTATACAGTGGCACAAAACAAGAAATTCATAATGTTCAGACAATCCTATGTTTATCCAAAATTCCTTTTTGTGACCTACCAATTTTTGAGGGTTAAAGGAGAAAGTTTATCGCACTGATAATAAAGAAATTTGGTGGCCTTCACCGTAAATAAAATCTTACCAGTACCCAAAAATCAGGTTTATGTGATCTTACATTTTGAAATTGTGTGTTCCAAAGCATACCATCTTAGATTTTTATCTAGTTTTGTTCTTATATTCCCTTGTTGGACTGCATAATACTTGCAATCATTCATTTGACCATTTTGCCTATGCAAATCAAATCAGTTTCCAATAGAATGTTAAATATGAAACTGACCAAAATGACGTGCAAGGTTAAAAAAAAAAGTTTAATACAAAGCAACCAAAGTGTATTGACATTTCTATTGATTTGCCATCATCTATTAAGGATGTACTTGCTATTGAGTAAATGAGCAACGAATTGCTCTCAGTCCTATCATGTATGAAAATATTAATGCTCGCTCTTTATATCAGTCAATTTTTTTAAAACTTTAAGCTTTAGAGCAAAAAAGGCTTCATAAAACAATTAAAAACTTCAAAATAACATTCACATTTGAAAAGTGACAAAAATACAGACATTTTGCTTCGATGACTGATCTCTACAAACTGTTGTTCATCCATCATGTGTCAGTTGAATCCAGGACACTTTGACTGTGAACAAGGCCCCAGTAGTGTTCCACGTTGTGCTTCTTGAACTGTTCTCTGGCCATCGCTTCTGTAGGGCACAGCTTGAAGTGAAGGTCACTGAAGTTGCGTTGTTTGATCATCCCTGACCACATCAGCTGACAGTGGTTGGACTTGACCGCTTCATCTCCAGAGTCATCATCTATTTGGATGAGAATCATAAATTGACATGGAGACTCTCACATATATTCCATCCTTGCAACACTAATAGTTCATTAACACTAGCTCTGAAGCAATACTACCATCAAATTAGACGAATAGTAGCATACCGGTAACTGGTGATCAAAAATATATAACATCTTTTCATTTGGATTTGACATACTTCATAATTGCAAATGTCAAAAATGTTGTGAAAACTTGGCTATCCTTGATGGTGCTATCTTCTGAGCCACCAAATGTTTAGACAATAGTTGTAAATGAATGTTGGCAGAAAATATTTTGCATAGACTGTTACTATCTCTTAAACTTGGCCACCCATGCCACAAAAGGACTTAAAAATGCAAGTAGTAATCGCTACAGAACTACAATTTTTCCGCTTCAATAACAAGAGTTACTAAATGAAAATATCTTCCATTGCTTAAGGGGTGGGGGCGAGGGAGAAGGGTGGGATAATATACTTGAATGTGCTTCTCAAACTCACCATCATGTTTGCTCCTTTTATCCTCCCCCCATTTGATCCTGTGCAACATCAACCGCTGGAATTTTTTCTGCTGCTTTGGTCCTGAAAAATAGAACACAGTACATAGTTAGCAAGATATTAGAGACACATAGTAGTGAGCTATCACGGGGAATTCACCAGTCAATCACCAGGATTAGCCTTCAGTTTGAAGACAAACAGACCTTATGTAATGCTCTGCATTTTCCACCTATCTTCCCATGTGGTCCCTCACCCATAGACTAATGAGTTTTTCATGATGGAACTACAGGTTTGCTTTGTGCGAAACTTGTGCACCCATAAATATTATTCCCACCAGGTCTGGTGTCAGCGAATCTGCACATGGAAAACTGAAGAAAATCTCCCTTTAACAATTTCATGTGTTTTCAGATTAAAGAAAGTTTTCAATCTTTGCGAAATGAATGAGATCTGAGATATAATGTATATCAGGGCTTGAATAACAGCAACCAGTACTTTTTTTTTCAACAACGATTTTAAAATTTGATTTAACTTGGTCAGATTTATACTTGGGTGCAATACAAGAATAGATTTGTTTTATTCTGGATCCTCACTTGTCAACAAAATCCTTAATTCTAAAACTGATCCTTCTATCTTTCTACCGTTCAAATACTCTTCAGCTTTGGATGAATACTTACCCCCTTCTACCACCACACAATTCATATCTTTGTGCACCACAGCTATGCCCGTCATCTGAAGTTGCTTGGCGTTGGCTTCGACCTTGAAGCGTTTAGCTGGGTTGTTGAGGTTCAAGACCCGGTAGACATTCACAGTGACCCCCGTCGAGGTGTCCTCTCTCATCTTGCGTTCCTTCTTCTCCTTCCGTTGCTCGGTAGTCAGCTTCCGCGCTGCATTTGTTTCCTCGTGTGTCCTATGGAAGAGAAGAGCCATCAAGTTATCAGCAACAGCCGTGGGCATACCCAAGCGCATTACAAGGAATGTGGTTTTAAAGCAGGACTGCACTACTTGCAGCTACTTGCACCTTCTATATAGCAAACAATGCCTAAGTGGTACCTGTTGGTCCCCCATGATTCCCTTTTTCTTATGTTAATTGAGAGCTGATTTGATAAGATAACCACCTGTCAGTGACCAGGTAGGGAGGTCTAATCCCTCCTGGCCAAACAGAAAGGCTTTAAACAAATTTCCTCTATCATGCCAAATTCCTTTGAATTTTGCATTTCAAGATTGGTTCATTAAAATTCTTGTCAGCTTTTGCAAGAGACTGTTTCGTCTTGTGGTTTGCTTTAGTAGGACCATTCAATTCAAGTCTTAAAGAGAAGGTTGAGTACTGGTAAAAAAAAGAAAATTATTTCTCACAGAATCAAACGAAACTTACACTGAATGTTCAAGATTACAAATAAATGACATGTGCCAAACAATTTTGGAAGAAAATGTATACTGGCTGAGTAATGAGCATAGAAAGACAAGGAATCAAGGTAGTACCAACCCCGACACCATGCGTGTTGTCCCATACATAGCTTTCCGTGTATGTGCTTGTTACTTTACCAAGACTCGGTCAAATTTATTATGATTTTGATGACTCCAGAACCTTGCAGTGCACACCAATACTTACATGCTACATGATCAACTGTTTCTGATCCTTTCCACACCTTTTCTTTCACAATGCAATCGCATTACCAGTACTAAAGTTTATCTTTAAAGTAACGATTTTAAATGTGACTATTGGATGAATGAATCAAATCTATACCTTTGTCTTTTCTCCATCTGTGCCCTGACATGTGCTTCTACTTTAGTAGGATCCTGGACAGCCTCTGTACCCAATACTCTCATCAGGTTTGCCATGCGTACTGTGCAAGATTAATAGAAAAAACATATCTCTAGAGTTAAAAGACAAACACACAATCTAAAAGAATGCCAGAAAGAACAAAATTGATACCCAACAGAACAGAGTTTTATTTCAACTTTGACCCTCCTTGTAGGGGTACTTACCGGTAGTACTCACTGATTGACAGTGAACAATAACTGTGCAAACTTTATTTAATGATTATTTCTAAAGCATGATGACGGATAAGCTATTGTCTAATCGTCTGGTTGACCTCAAGGGAATTTCCCTTATCTGTTCATGTGTAGATTTTATCTACAAACTGAGAAAATTGTATATCAACTGTAGATATCATACTCATCTTGCAACGACAAAAGAACAACCATAATGTAATGGTGAAGAAATAAAAATTCAAGTATGAGATAAAGTATTACCTTTTGGTTCCGGTGGTGGTTCAAGGCCCATTCTGATCTTTTCTGTTGTTTCTTTTAATGCTTCTCTCCTCCTTTGCCTCCTCAGTTTCTTCATCTCCTTCTTTGTCAGATAAATAGGAAGCTCAACATCTTTCTTCTCAGCTGTACGTTGATGAAACAAACATGATGTTTATTATTTGCTTGATAACTATAGCTTCACAAGTCATTTTCTTCCAAGTTCTTGACTAAATCATCACCTTTTTGTATTGCAATAGAATCTTTTCCTTTACTGACCAATATTGGTGGATAAATGAAAGTCCACCTAAAACTGTCATTAGAATTGCACAGAAGGCTATCGCACAGCATTATACCTTGTTTAGTCACTTCTAGTATCATCTTAAAAGTGAACTACATGTAGCTACTTTAAAGGGAAAGTCCACCCCCAAAATAAGTTTGTTTTGATAGAGGCAGAATAATAAGAAAATCAGGTGAGTGAAAGTTTGAGCAAATTCTGAATGAAAATAAGAAAGTTATGAATTACTGAAGTTGTGATCAATCAAATACAAATTGGCAACTCTGTGACTTATTATACGAGCTCTCCTTCATTTGCTTTGTGCATAATATTCCATAAAATCATGTTTTCTTCGTTATTGATGACGGAATATATATTTGTTCCTTGCAGGGGAAGTATAGAAACATATTTGCAATTATTATATTTAGGGTGCATGTATGGTTGAAATTTTTCTTGAGGGAAAATGAAAATTGTAGATTTTTTTAGTACTGAGCAAATGGAAGTTGAGCTCGCATGATACGTCATAGAGTTGCCAATTTGTGTTTGATTGATCACAACTTCAAAAATCCTAACTTCCTTATTTTTAATCGGAATTTGCTCAAACTTTCACTGACTTGTTTCTCTAATTTTTTACTCCTATTAAAACTAACTTAATTTCAGGGTGGACTTCCCCTTTAATAACATGGTAAGGCTTGATTTTTATGTTGAGATCTGCAATTATTAATGCCATATGTATTTATCTCAACTCAACAAAGCTACAATAGATCACATTAATTATTTTACATAGGATTTTGTATTACACTGTATTATTTGTATTGGCAACCAGTACTATCAGAGTATCTTAGACTTTGTGCAAAAGTACCCGGATGACCATCCAATATTTTTCCATATCTCATGGTTTGGGGTACGCAAGCACATTTGATAAATGCGCCTAGGCTAGGACAGTGGATGTATGGGCACAGCCATTACCAAATGCTTGGGTAAGGGCAAAATATGTTTTGATCCCTTTTTTTAATGTTGAAGTTGATACAAAAACACATGGGTTGAGGTACTAGATTTTTATATAATTGTTGATAATACTGAATAGGTTTGCTTAATTGATATAAAAGGGTACATTGCATTCGCTATGAAAATATTTCACTTGTCATGCCGACTCTTGGTATATGCCCATCAATTCATGGGATATACTTGTATTCCATTCAATGTAACCTTATATAGCTTGGAGTTCAATACAAACAAAACACTCGTGTATATTTCTTTAACAACCGACTAGGTGGTATCTCTCCAAACTTGTTATTTTGCAGGTACTAGGACGAGACTAAAACAAGTGACGCTATCTTACCTGGAGGTTCGATTTGAATGGGATGCTCTACCAAATTAGTGATGCCTACTAATTTATCTGTTCCACTAGCCTGAGCGGTACCTTTGCTCACATCTGCATATGTCTCTGTAGGAAGGATGAAACTATCCCACCATTCAACACCCGGTATTTCATTCTCTTTCTAAATGGAGGGAGAAGGAGATAAACAGAATGTATTTTTTCAGGATTTTTAAAGACAGACAACTATCATATTAAAGAATTAGCAAGTAATACAGTTGAGCAACAAACTAGTAAATAATTTAAACAAGGGGTTCTTAAAGTTTTTCCTTTATGGTCCCGATGTGATTTCCATAAAAGCTAAAAGTTCTAACACATAGGATGCCATTTGCACAAAAATTATTACGTCGAAAAAGTAGAATAAAATGCTATTAATTCCTGGAAAGCCGGACACGATTCACAATATTACTTAATTTTGTTTCAGACTCAGAAAATCTACTCCTAAAACTTACAGTAATGAGACTTTTAATTCTGAAGAAAATGAGACTGATGTTAGGTTTATATCTGATTCAAGGGGAATCGTCGCACTAAAAAAAGAAGAAAACAAAGAACCAGAGCCTTCTGGGCAGTCCGGATTGACACGCATTGCATTCCCGATGCGGACCATGGTCCGAAATTGTACAGGGATATACAGCATACATGCCAACATTTGAAAATCAGAAATCTGTACAAATTATGCTATTTTCAAAAAAAAGAGGAACAATCCTAACTCTCCTATTCAATACTACAGACAAATTTGTACAGGAAGAGGAACACCTGCATTAAAATGATAATTATCTTCTCCCAAAAAGAGGAATGTTCCTCTTTAATCTGAAGAGTTGGCATGTATGTATACAGTCTACCTACCAATACAGCAAGGAAACAATAAATTAATTTTAAACATATTCATTTAATGAATACAAGTTAATATATATTTTTTTAAAGTATATAACTTCAATTGCAGGGGCAGTGCAAAAACATCAGTCTGTGCCTGATACTGATTCAAAACATTCAAAGGAAGACCTTGTAATATTTTCTGCATCTTTAACTCTTTAGAGTTGAGAGTTGTTTGATATAGCTACTAAGGCTGCGACGAGTACTCGCACTGTTGACAACTAGTCGAGTACGATTTTGTCGTACTCGAATACACGGCCGGCATTTTTTTTTTTTGCTGATTTTTTTTTCTCTACTGGCAGTATGCGGGCCGGCCGAAGCTCACCTGTGCCCGGATAAGCACCGGCAGGGTACCGTGACTAAAATTGTTTCCCAGCTCAATCATACATGGGTGTCACTGTCAACTCACCACTCAGAAACTAGGACCAAACTAGCTGCCAATGTCCAGATTTCTGTTTGAACTTGGAGGATAATTTGTCTGTCATCTTTAGTTTTTAAAACAACATAGTTATTATTATTTGTGAGAAATTCACAAGCACAAATCGGCGCCTTCAATTGCAACTTGCAGTAAAATAGTGTGGGTTATCGTAGCCGGAGTATTCGAGTAGTCGCCTGAAAGCCTGGGAGTGTACTCGAGTACCTCATTACACGGTTATGCACAGCCTTCATAGCTACAGATCTGATTTTGTCTAATTGTTCTTACCAATTCTCTCTTGGGTGTGATCAAGGCTAGTTTGGTTGCTGATGTGATTCCAGTCTTCTTAGCTGCCTGAGAGATCTCATTCTGAAGCTTCTCTAGTTGTGACTGGAATAGATTGCAAAGGGAAATACCATGAGTCAATGTAAGAAGCATACATGTATATAGGTGTGCATAGTAGAAATGCCATATTTGAAAAATATTGTAGCTCATATTCTATTTAAATTTACAACCAGTGCTGGGGCTAATAAGTAAGGTATACAATTGAGTTTACCAAAAGTACATTTAAGCGACTGGAAATTTGTGAAGTTTGGTTCCTGAGAAGGATGCTATGAATTTCATGGACAGAAAGAGTTTCAAATAATGAGGTATTTGCCATGGCAGGAACAAGACGAAAGCTTCTGAATAATATAAGAGGTCGACAGCTGAGCTTCTTGGGTCATGTTATTCGAAATAATGGTTTGGAAAAAATTTCACTGACTGGAAGAATTGAGGGGAGGAGGAGTAGGGGTAGAAGGAGGATTATGTGGATGGTATAGAATATGGGACAGAAAGTTGTGGCAGTCCATGGTCGCCAACGTCTCAGGACATGGCACATAAAGAAGAAGACATTTAATTAGACCGAGGTTTTTCCTTTGTTGAACGTGACTGACAGGTACACCTAGAATCAGGTTTAGCCATATTAGAAGAATTTTTTTTTGAGAGTTTGCGATAAAAAGACTGTTTGAGTGTTTTCATTCAGATAAACCAAATGCTCCAACAGGTAGATATGTGCCCAAGCAAGACCAATGATAGATATTTTTTCATGCTTTCAAAGACGTTCGCATGAAAAATGATGGTATGCCAGCAAGAGTTTAATAACCCATGTATTTTTTAATCGTAATGATTTCTCCAGCTATCTTGTCCATTTTTCCCTCTCATTACACAGCTTCCTTTCAAGAATCAATTTAGCATTTCATACCTTTCACTTCCTGGGGACTTCCCCCTGATATTGACCCAATCAGAATTCAGTAGAGTATACAGACTCCATTTTACGAAAAAACAAAATTGAGACAAACCCACCTTTGCCCTTATCCTTTGTGCAACCTGTTCAAATTTGCCCTGGTCATGAAACTTGAATGACTTTCTGTTCCCTCTACCGACTACAGGTACCACCCGTGGGTCAAAGAACTTGTTAGAGTCTGAAGAGAGGTCCTGTGGTTTCTCCTGCTGATTGACCTTGAATTCTTCTCTCCGTTTGGCTCGGATGTTAGCCTAAAAAAAGATTGGAGAAGGAAAATGGTACAAGTAAAAGTGAATATCTAAAAACACATGAAAATATCCATTTATAATCATTTTTGAAGTCTACAAAATGTTTTTCATGCAAACGTATTGACAGGTATCACATGTTAGAATAGTTTGGCAGAAATCCTCAAGTACTGCAGTGATTTAGATCATTTGTTTACCATCATAGGCATATGGCTTGAAAAGAATACATCAGCGTCTGTAGCCTGCATTTTCTCTTCTTTAGAGTACAATTATGGCATTAAAATTTGTTTAAACACAACATAAGCTCTTGTAGGTACATCAAGTCACTTAAGTCACCATCTATGACTTATCAATGACCCAATTCAGAAGCAAATCAAATTAACTTATCAAGCATCATGGAGCATTGCAGTGAATCACACATATTTTCGTAAACACAATGTCTTCTCTTTTTTATACATCTTCATAAAATGCAAGGTCTTGGGTTTTTTTCTGCATAATTTTAAAAAAAAATACATCTTCACATCTTGCTCTTATTCCAAACTCTCTGTGTTCATATTTCTCCATATTTTATTTGACAAGAAAATCACATACATATTTTCAATATTAATTTGATCTTATATTTAAGTGAAACATGTCAAAGATAAAATGCAAATTTACTACAGCATCTATACCTTAATTGTTGGTCTGTGTTGTGGCAGTATGATAACACGTCCTGATTTATCAATTGTTCTTCCTTGTTCATCCAGAATCAAAGGCGCTGGTCTGGGGCCAAAAAAATATAAATAAAATATAAGGCTTCACATAAATACTAACACTTGCATGAAGATTCAAAAAACATTTTATTACTTTGGACTTATCAATCAATCATTCATTAGCTTTTAGGAAAAGATAAACAAACGTTTATTCTTAAAGATTGAGAAATCATTTCATTCCTCCTCTGGACTAATCGATCATTCATTAGCTTTAAAGCCTGTCTGTAATAGTTTGACCAGGGGGGGGGGTAGACCTCCCTGCAAGGTCACTGACAGGTGGTTATATCATCAAATCAGCTCTCAATCAACATAAGGCAAAGGGGATCATGGGGGTCCAACAGGAACCAATTAGGCATTGTTTGCTATATAAAGGTGCAAGTAGCTATAAGTAGTGCAGTGGGGCTTTAAAGGAGAAAGATAAACAACAACAACGGCAACAAGACTAACAATAGCAAACACACAACAATAGAGATACATTTGGAAGAAAAAAGACTTGACTGATGTAGAATAGTAGAATGTTTTCTCACTTTGTAAGAACAGAAGGGGGTGATTTCATATCGCTGATATCTTCCTTAGTAGCTGGTACTTTAGGTATCGCAGGTGCCTGGGGAATCCCAGGCATAGGTGGTAGCTTCAGACCTCCTAACCCAGCACTCATCATGGTGGCCTGTATGCGGGCTTGAATCTCTGCTGCTTTCTTGGCCTTCTCCAGGGCATCATTCCTCAGGGCCTCCGGCTGACTCTTGGCAAACTGAGGTCAGAGGGAGAAATATTTCAGTCAATTTGTACCGATGAGGATACACTTAGGGGGACTGATAAGTACACCAGCTAATTATAACTTGTGAGTGCTTCGTATTAACAAAATATAACCTTAACTTCCCAAAAATTATGTTCTCCTAGGCATTTGGGGCCAGTTTCTCAAAACAGTAATAAGTCTAAGATTACTGATGACCTATTAAAACATGTGCTTATATACAGGAGTTTCAATGGGATGTCTGTAAACTTAGGACAGTTTTGTGAAATGCTGCCCTGGGGCCTAAACACAAACATACATTTACAAAGCCCATTAAAATGTGCAACTGTTGTAATCCGATGCCTTAAACTATGGAGGCTAATAAGGCAACTTTATCATTACATCCGTAATCTCAGACAATCTTAGGAATTCAGCTGCACTTGATTTAGTATTAACTTTTATGCTTTCCAATGCTCATTGTTAAATTACCCAAATCCTCCAGCGGTGCAAAGTTACTCTAATCATTGTACATTGGCAGCTGTTCGGCTTTTGCTAGAGAATCAATTATATCTGGTCATATGCAATTTGTGCTTTAATCCCTCTCTTTAAGGGCTGTCTAACTATGGGCTATCTCTGTTTTGTGTATTTGTTCAATGTTTCATTAACTGTAATTAACAGCAAAATAGTAATTATGGTGAATGCACTGTCTTTCCTTTTTACCTTGACTCCATTCTCCTCTTCACCTGGGAAGTGAGAGAGTTTGGATCGTTTCTTGTGTCCCTCGTAACCATCATCCTCTTTGGTGGTTCTCTTGGAAGCTCTATTTCCTACTTGAAAACCTGCTACATCAACAAAAAGAGTCTCCACAAACCTCTCGGCAGAATCTTCCAGCAAGGGTTTTAACATATCTAAAGTGAGCAAACAAACAAGAAATGAGAAAACTTATGCATGATAAAATATTTACATAGAATCATAATTATAATTTTAGGGAGGCCAATGCCCAAATCTAACTTTTTAATTACTAATTTGTTTATACTAAAACTAAGATTAAAAGAAAGCATTTACTTTCACTAAGAAAATCCACCCATCTGCCGACTCCAGAAGTTCCATCAAATAGGAGATATCCAGCTAGTTCCTATGAGGTTCCTTCTACGCCTTTCCGTACGTAAGAGCCTTGAAACAATTATATTTCATGTCGCAAAGTTACGTTCATAATTAGACAGGCCCGAGGGACAAAGTTCGTGATGAAGTTTAAAACTTCGCGCGAAAGTGCAATCACTCAACAGCGGCTAGCCTTGAATCGGTCGCACACGTACACACCTTCTTCTTCTTAGTTGATCCCACCACCGACACAGGCAAGCCCCGATGCAGGCTGAAGTCCAGCCATCAATGTGCGAACGATTACATCTTCTACTACTACGAGCCGAAGACGATGGTTCAAAAATGAAGAATAGACATATATATAATTCATTGATATTTACCTTAGATGTGCATTCCAATAATTTGATTTCCTCATGAGTATTCCTTATTATCAACGATCGAGAAGTTACGAGGTCCAATTAACATCCATCTTGCAGCGAACACAATCATAGCGCACATCCATGCATGCAACGTACCGTACGTGTACTAATATTTCTCTCACTCTCTCTCTCTCTCTCTCTCCCTTTCGCTATACGTAACATACACACTCACTAACCATGTATCATACAACACACACCTTCAAATCATGGCTTTCATTGGAGTATAGACTGCTCACGTAGACTTTTTTTTTTACTGAAATATCTTTTTTAACACTTCTCATACATTACTGCACGACACTCGTATCTAGTGCTGTGAGAATAAGGTACTAGGGTCTATAAATAAGACTACGCTTTGCGCACGATCTGACCGGAGCTCAGATTATGTCGCAATACCCTTTATTTTTGGCGCGAACAATGACGTCACTGTTCACTGTTTTCCTTCTCATTTTGAGATGGATGTAGCTATAGGGCTCAAACCAACGCACGATTGACAGAAACATCGTACTCTATCTACTTTCGAATGTTCAGTTTGTAAAAATCTGTATTTAAAAAGATATAATCTTTTTTCTTTATATTTTCTAGTTGTTAGAAGTGGCAATTGTGAACATCTGAAATGTTGATCTCTATCAAAAGTTCTTTACTCAAAACGGATCCCATATTTTTAGGGTCTACCTTCTGCCAATGAGAAGGTTTTTAGTGAGCAAACCTCTACGCCCTCTAGGATTTTCTTAGTCGGTGGTGCGAGTGCGTCAAGGTCGTCTGCAACCACAATTATTGGATTAAAAAACGTCAAAATCTGTAAGATTGTCAACAAATGGTGAAAGACTGTTACAGATCCGTGATTATAGGTATGTTGTGAAATGTATAATTGTATTTTCTTTTCTTATTTTCTTCAATTTTTATTTTTACATCATTTTTTTCCCTTTGCTAATTTTTTGAAGTGGGCGACGAGCGCACAAATCGTAAGTGTAGAAGCCTTACGCCCGGGCATTGGCCTCCCTAATAATTTATATCAAACTTTGATAAGGAGGATCTATCTTGCCATTCTTGGTTAGATAGATCCAACTTAAATTTACTTTCTAGATCAAGCTACACCTACTGTTACAATAACAAAATAATTATCGACAACACCCTTCATATTCATCCCCATCTAGCAATCTCCTAAACATAAATTTACAGTCTAGATGACGTTATTCCTGCGTGAAAATAGAAATTAGAATCTGTGATGTTTCCAACAGACGAAGTCTAAGGTCTACACGATCGAGTCGATCCTAACAAAGCCAAAGGCCCAAGTACTAATGAAATGATTAAAACTTAGCCTTAGGTGAGTTAGGTCTAGACTACATCACAAATATTTTACAAAATGGAGCTCTTCCTTACCGACAGTTTTTGTCTTGGACATTCTCTGGCCAATGCAATTAACAGCAGCAATAACAACACTTGGTTCATTGATTCCAAGCACTTTTAAAACTGATGACTGCACGACTGGCCGCAGCTCGTCTAAATCTCTCTTAGACAATGCCATTTTTAAAGTTTGACTTCCCAACAGTGCTCCGAGTGACGTTTGATTTTCAGAATCCTCAATTCAATTTTTCCAACAAAATATTATATTAGTGGGACCGACATGTAGAAACGGTAACACTGCGGCGAAGTCTGTTCTTTTGTTTCACCAAAAACTCCATAAACTACAGGACAGCAATCACATGAAAATATCGTATAAGCACTGCATCCCCGATTCGAATTGCTTGAGTTTGTTAATATTCAATAATATCTTTAAACGAGACAGCTTCCAAGCTCCGAAAGATTACACGCGAGATCCCGAAAGTTTTTGGACAAATCATTAACGTTGTCTAGAACCTAGTTGAATGATCGCCCCGTTCTCAATTCGCCTCCTCGCTCCTAGCACAATTTTTTTTTTGCGAACGAGTTGTCGATGTCGGCAGGGGCCAGGGGGTTCCTAAAACCTTTTAAGCAGGGAGCTGCGACTTTTACAGATCCCTGGTGTAACCATGCCCAGTGGCGGATCCAGGGTGGGGGGGGGGGGGGGGCGGGGGATGTGTATTTTTACATTTTTTAACGTAAATTTTACCTTTCTTTGAAGATGGCAACCGGCCGCCCCCCCTAGCGCTCATACACATACGCAATTTGTCAAATTTTTGAAGGCCAAACAAAAAATTAGTGCTCACTACCCCCCCCCCCCCCCACTGAGTGAAATAATGGTCGGCCCGATTTTCATATTTCAGCACACTAAATTTAGTGATTTCAAATTTGGGCCCCCACCCCTAAGAAATCCTGGATCCGCGCCTGACCATGCCCGACCATGGCATCTTAAAGACCTTATTCACCTTTTTTTGTCAGGTCGACAAATATTCTCCTCTGTCCATGGAATTAGGATTGGGTGTGGTGAGGTGCTCCGGTTCGGGTGCTTGGGTGTGGTCAACGAATAATGATGCAGCACACTATAATTATGGGGACCCTTTTTCTCAGTATTTTTAAAACCTTTCTCCACTTTTATTCTGATATTTATTTCTTATGTGCTTGTTCGTCAGATTATTAGGAGTGACCCTATAATCCTGGCCAGGCGTGGATCCAGGATTTCTTAGGGGAGGGGGCCTAACTTTTTTTTTTTTTTTTGCTCCCGAAAAATTGAAAATCGCGCCGGGCGAAAAGTCGCTCAGTGGGGGGGGGGGGGGGGGGGGGGAGGGGGGGGGAGGGGGGGGGGGGTAGTGAGCACATTTTTATTTTTTTTGGTCCTCGGAAATTTAAAAATTTGCACCACCCCCCCCCCCCCTGAGCGCCAGGGGGGGGGGGCCGACCCCCAAAAAAGGTAAAAATCATATGATTTTACATGATTTTTTCTCAAGGAGGGGGAGGGGGGCCGGCCCCCCTGGATCCGCCACTGATCCTGGCACCACGGTAAAAAGCTTTGAACTTTTGAAGTCAGTGTTGGAAGTTCCGTCTCCAATAGGGGCTTTTAATATATATAAAACGACCGTGGCTTTGACCGATATGCGTACATAAACAATTTTAAGAGAGGCCAGGATGAAGCCTTTAAATTTTGTGCTAGTGAGCGTGCACAAAATTTACACTTTTTGTAGTGAAAATGTAGAAATTGGCCCTGAAAGTGAGGTCCGAATCTATAAGCTAAGTTTAGTGACCGACTACGACCCTACCCTTCCCCCATAACCACAAACTGCCCAAATATGGCCTTTTCCCCCAATTCGAAGTGGTGGTTTAATACCCAAATATCCGAGGGAACTTTATAAAATCTATAAAAAAAAAACCTCCCTTCGCCTCGTATATACGCTTATAGCTTCCCGTAACTGGATCTTCCCGAACTTTTCACAGCGGCTGGTTGAAGGGTTGAGATTTTAGATTTATTGAAAAAGAGGAAAAATAATTGATGAATTGAATTGAATTGAATTAAAAGTGATATCATCTTTTTAAAGATTTTAAACTTCCCCATTCTCCAGACTGCATCTGTTCAGCGTTAAGCAAGTTTGAGATTAATCCCCCTAATTATATCTTGAGTTCTTGCAATATAGCGTCGTATTTTAGGAAGAACCGGCTTGATTTTTCTGGTCAAACAAATTAAGACTAATCCTGCTCAAAAGTAGAAATCACAACGGGATCACATCACTGCATAATTGAGGCCTATATGCCTGTGCCACCCCGGTGGGGTCACTCAATGTGACTTCCGGACCGCATGACCGTTACCAAAATCGCGGAAAAAGGGGTCAATTTCAAGCAATGTCCGCGGACAAAATATTCTTCGAAATAAAGAAAATAGGGGGGCACAGGTGTCCCCGAAATTGATAAATAGGGGTCAGGAAAAGGGAAAAGAGAAAACCGGGAAGGGAAAAGAGAAAACCGGGAAGAAAAATTCTCGGAGCCGAGTCTTGTCCTTGAAATATGGTAAAATAGGGGTAAATTTGCGAAAGTGTCCTTACAATCTTATAAATAGGGGTATTCCAAAGTACGATTTTGTCCTTGTTTTGACGTAAAAAAGGGGGTTAAATTTCACAAAATGTCCTTGAAATTGACCGCAAAAGGGGGTTATATGCATTGGTGGTAACGGTCATACGTGTCACTCTTTGCAGGGGAGTGACCCCACCGGGTGTGCCACATGATCATCATACTAGGCCTACTCCAGATCGATCGAGTCGGATAAGGAAAAAAAAGGGGGGGGGCACGTAATTTTTCCAGTTGGGTTTAAACTTCGGCGTTCCTTTCGGAACTGCAATTTAAAATGATATAGAAACACAATACTGGGGCAACTCTTTTTGTCTTCGTTGTCGTGTAGTGTCACCCCATGGTCCCGACATGGTCCCCAACCATCCATCATCTACCAGTGTCCCTTGAACAATCGGTCGGTAATAGGGGCGACAAAATAGTACAGTGAGTTGTATTATGGAGTGAATTGTCTAGAAACGTGTATTCCTTGTTGTACTGTGGTAGTAGTTATTTTTCTAACTTCCTTGGCATTTCTCGACAGAGGGGCTGCGTACATACAAGTAAGATTCCACTTGATTTTTTGTATAGATTGGTCTGTGACATAATAAGTAATAGTTAGTCTAAAATATGTTGACTTATTAAAGTCTAAGAAACATGTACGACAGAGCGATGGAATCTTGTTTGGCTTTGACTTTTGAGTGCTACTCGATCGAGCCGAGGCCTAGGGCATGGCGACTGCTGGTAGAATTCCGCCCGGGTTTAGGGCAGGACGAAGTCACTGAAATGATACAAGTTACAAGGACTAGTACAAGTCTGACACTGTGTGTGAACTTGTTTGAAGTATTTTAAATGACATGGCGTAGCCTTCATTAGTAGAAGTCTATAGCACGGTATTCTTGATTATGACAATATTTTTTGTTTATAATATAGACTCTATTCTTACTTTTTGCTGCTATGCAAGAAACTGAATGAAACTTATTGAAAGGCTCCACCTAGCAATCTCTGAGTTACAATAAATTAATGTACTTTGATGACAAAAAAATTAGTGTGAACAGAATACACAATGTTTCTTTTGAGGAAAATAGTTTTATTTTTTTATCATTGTCAGGGTTTTCTTCCCATCTTTACATAAACAATAACTAAATAAGTTTTAATATGTTTAAAGAATAATAAGAATTATGATCATTTATTATTAATGTTACTGTTATTATTTTGAATTATTATTATTAATATTGTTATATCATCATCAGCATCAGTATTATTGATTATGTTTTTGATTTTTGACTATTATTCCAAGATGAGAGTAGGCTCTGACTTGAAACCAAAACCCAAAAAGAGTACAGTATAGGCCTAGATCTACTGCCAATAAATATTCACTGTATTCTGTCATCTGTAGCTGATATAGTCTACTGATGTTGTAACAGTTGGAAATCATGGCAAAGTCAAATTATCTCCATGAAGATTGTTTGTCGCACAAATTCACTAGAGAAAGGAGAGAAATGGTAGGCTAAACCACTCTGCTGGGGGCCGTTTCTCGAAACCGTCATAAGTCTAACTTCTTAGACATCCCATTGAAAATTTCTATGGGTTGTCCATGAACTTAGACTTATGATAGTTTCAAGAAACTGGCCCCTGAGTGCTCTGATTTCACAACAAATTTCCATGCAGTGTCCACATAGTGTACCGTGAGATAAGGGAAGGAGAATCGAGTTCCGCTTATCGCAAAAGGCTTAAAGACAATTGAGAAAATAAACAGAAGGGTACGAAACTTACTTCTGATGAGTCCTCAAAAGGCTCAGATTAAAGAATAAGTTCCAAGTAGATTTAAGTAGATAAGTCCTAAGTAGATCATGCTGTAAAACGACTCTTGCTATAATCTCTTGCAGATTGAATTCAGGATGGATATGATGGGGAAGGCTATGTTCTCTCACCAAGTTGGTAAATTCAAAGAAGACCTTGGATTGAAAGGAGACGAGGAGGAGAAGACGAGTAACTATGATCCTCGGAAAGAAGCAGAGGAAGAAGAACAGCTAGCAGAACAAAGGTGGGTCATGCTTCATGATTGATATGTATGATATGCAAGGCTCATATTAATTTTTTGTACACGGGGGCTCTCCAAAAAAAAGAGCCCCGGTGAGCCTTCTCACAGAGACTCTTTTTTAAATACAAATTTCCATTGAATTTGTAACCATGATACTCCTAAATTCTTTGCTATTCCATCATTATCATTGATATAAGTCAGCATTTTTCCTCTTTTAAATTTACGATTTTTAATTTTGCAATCGCCCTCGTGAGCAATCGGACCGAGGCAATTATGTAGCTCCCGGGGGCAAATTGCCCGTCGCCCCTGTGTAAATTGCCCGTCGCCCCTGTGTATTTTGAGCCTTGATGATATGACACAGTTCTGTATACAGTACTTGTTATTTTCTCTTTCAATATATATTATGTATTTATCATTAACTCAAGTAATTATTCTTTTTGTTTAAATGTGAAGATAAATGAATTTAATTGAATAGAATGAATTGAATTGAGTATCCAGGCACATTTACTGGAATCACTATTTTAAAACATGTGAATTTGAACTTGAAGAATACTGTAATTCATTAAAATTCTAAAAGATTTGGTGAAAGTATGACAACATTATATCATCATATTCTAAATTTACATATCTGACTAAATACTACTTTAAAAAGTAACAGTTATGAGCGATATTTTGATAATTACTGCCTAAAGTTTATTCTACATTTATAAGTCCATTCAGTATTGTAAGAATCAATTTGATCACTTGCCATGGATTTCAATTCATTGTGATGCGGGTCATGGAGTTTGGTGTTGAGGATGAGCTGAGAATTAATGAGATCATAGTGATCATACCCTGGTCTGCTTTGTACTTAGTAGATTTATCATTCATATTTAGCCCAGAGAAAAATAAATCAGCCCATACTGGAAAATTGATTTATTATAAACAATTTATACATTTTTTATAAATGTAATGCTTCCTGGGAGAAATATCAATAGTTTAAACATATTTGTGGCTTACACCAAGTAAATAAGATTGATTGATCGATCTGTAATTGAAAAACAAGTCAGAAAAAATCTTGAAACCAGCGGGATTTGAACCTGCCATCTACTGCTTGCCGGGCAGCGACTCTACCACCAGGCCATCACTAGTCCATGGCACAGTCACGATGAACTAGAAACAAATACCCAAGCTCTCCTGATTCATTCTGACTTATTAATATTCATTAGTCCGCCATAGGACAATAACTTTTATAAATGTAATGCTTCCTGGGAGAAATTCAATAGTTTAAACATATTTGTGGCTTACACCCAGTAAATAAGATTGATTGATCGATCTGTAATTGAAAAACAAGTCAGAAAAAATCTTGGAACATTAGCATCATTGATCTGAGGTTAATAGATTGTGTTTTGGGTAGAATTAGGATGAGGTTAAAAGTATGATAATGTTTACTCACATGAGCTGTAGGGTTATTACAGAAATGATTATACATGTAGTAGAAAACTTATCATGAGACCAATAATGCACAGTGCCATATTAGGATGTAATCATTTAATCTTCGCTAAATTGTTTTTCAAATAAATCCTTATATAATATTGGATGGCTTTGAGTACGATAAAAGAATATATTGCTCGAGCTATGACGATATTGAACGATTCGGAGACGAGTCCAATATCGTCTTAGCGAGAGAAATATATATTCTTGTATCACACAAAAATGAAGCCATATATTACTATTATCTATATCAGGCTGACCAGCGAAATTTCAACATTTGATTTGCCTCAGTAAATATGGCTTTTTTTTCATGTGATATCGATAGTTGATGTTCCTGGATGACTGAGCTTTACTAAAACAATATTGATCAGTCTTCCCGGTACTGCGCTAAAGATGTTGAATACACTGATTTATTGTACCACTTGGAAGCCTTATATAGATAATAATATTTATTATTTCTCCTACCCCTTCCTCCAGACAACGTCGAAAGGAAGCACAGGGTAAGAAGCAAGCAGAGAGGGCAGTAAACCGGAACAAAATCAGAGAAAAATATGGACTGAAGCAGAACAAGCACGACCAGCAACTAGTGACGAACCATGGAAAACCAACCCCTTCCGCGAAAGCACCCTCGAGAGACGATTCTTCTTTAACAAGGAGCGGGTCTTCATCATCGTCACAGGATAAGAAAGATGACAAGTGTGCAGTCATGTGATCTTTTCTCAAAGCCTTAAATACATCAGGTGACCATTTCAGGATGTGTGTTGAATGAGTTTCTGGGAGTAATATACAGTACATGTAGTAGCTTCGTCCTAAGATCATGATGCATATTCTGTATATGTTGAGATGGAGAATGGCTTCATGGCTTTGGTTGCTTCTATCAGCCTGGGACAAACATGATAAAAACCATGAGATGCTTGCCACAGTGATTGATCTTCCTTGGAGATGGGTAACTTCTATTATCGGTAACTTCTATTATGATTGTGCAAAGTAAATGGCAAGGTACAAATGAAGATACGCTATTGAAATTCACTGTGGGCATGCAGTTGTCATTCCAATGATAAAGTTATGTATTTGAATGAGCATAATGAATTTTGTTTACCTCTACAAGATTGTTTTTCATACGTTCACCTATGTTCTCATTTTTGTGGCTTACTATAAGTATAAAATCTGATGAATTATGGAAGTCATGTTACGTCATCATGTTAATTGTTATGCCTTCAAGAATGGAAATTTTTACGTGATTTTCAGTGGCCATTTTCATTTTAGAGGGTGTTCAATTTCTTCTTACTTTTTGAATGACTTTACCATCAAACATTTGCCTTGCCCCCCCGCTTCTCATTTTTAAACGAAACTATCTCGACTATTGAAAATGCTGATTTGTCGATATATGATGCAGGAACAAAGTGATTACTGGTATACAAAGTGAAGATTGCAGAGATGTCAACATTGTCAATCTAAGTTTATCATTGCTGCACAAGGGTCTTCATTGCTGCACAAGGGTCTTCCAGAGTTATTCATTGTATTCTTGATATGGTGTCTATTGTCTAATACTCCAATTATCTGTTCTCGGCGAGATTGTACTGGATTCCCTCCACAGTTTGAGTGAAGACATCTTTCAAGTAATTATCCAAAATTATTGAATGCCTTCAGAAATTTGTCTTTCACCAATCACATTTCTTGATATTTTAGTCTTCCATCTAAGCGGTTGCCCTTCCAGTCCAGGTAGTGCCTTGCTTTTCATGGACATATTTTTCTATAAGCGCTGCATATGTACACTTTTAATCAATTTTCTCCTTTTCATATTCAGTTACAAATGTATAAAGGACAAATTGTAGTAGACTTTATTCTATTTCGTCAAGATATTCCTGTTTTCATTCAGTAGCGTACAACACCTGTTCTTCATGGACATTTTCTCTTCTTCTAGTACTACTAGTACACTTTTTATCTATTTTTGTCCTTTCATATTCAGTTACATTATAGAGGAGTGACTGTAGACTTTTGATTCTATTTTGTTAAGATATTCTTGCTTCCATACACTGTATGAACAGAACTGTATGAACAGAGAAGTAAAGGTTTGAGAAGGGATTGCGATAATAGCAGAACCTATGATACGATTACTAATTGATATGGGGAAATTCACACTGGCAATTCTCTGTATCTTTAACCTATCTTTGTTGTTGAATGTTTGAAACATGCATCAATTTCCAAGTTAACATCCTGGAAATTCATCAACTTGTGCTGGTTTCTATGAGGATTTAGTTTCATTTCCTGTTGGATTTGTATATTTTATCAATTACTCTTGTTTCACTTTGATTCATTATATTCCAGAGATCATACAGGAATTTTTTTCTTTTCTTTAACAAGTGCCTTTTTTAATTGTTGAAAGAAACAGTAGCACGTCTACTGTTTAATGTACATACTGCATATTTTCAGGTTTTGCGTCTTCCAGGAAATCCTATTTGTGGTATTGGTTTTGATTTGCAAACTGTTGAAAAGAGAGATTGCTTACCATCAGAAAACACAAATACATGTACATGTACAAACATAATGTACAGGGTAAAGTCCTACTTTTAGATTATACAGGTGTACATCAAGTCTGTACTTCCAATGCCAAAAATCTGGTCACCCTAGATTTATTGGACTTCCTGGACTAATTAGATGTTATAACAAAGTACAATATTCTTGTTTTATGTACTCGGTTGGTATTGAATTGAATTTTTTTTTCCTTTTTTCTTTTAAACTCTACTTCAGTTTAATCAGCCTTGATGAAAGATAACATTTCATCATGTAATTTATGAAACTATTCAGGTATTCCAGATAAAGCCTTTGCAGGGTAAAAAATCAACCATTATACATTGTAGGTGTATCACATGTTATGCAAATTGTGTGACTATGACTTTTGCCAAATATGTAGTTGTACAATGCTGAGACATTGATTTTAATCTACAAGTCTCTCTACTTTGTATGTGCTGTTGATAAGAGGAGAATGTAATCAATGTACCGGTAGTGACTATTGAGCTAATGAGATAGTGTGATGATCAGAGACGGTTAAAATAAACCGAACTACTAATGTAAATCTACATGCAACCTGTATGCAATTTGTGATGCCTACTAAGGGAGGATTTTCCCCCGAGTCGTTCATATCTTTCTAGAATGCAGCTCGGAGGATGCCATTGTATTGGATATGTACATGTGAACAGTGCACATAAAGTATGGTACATGTGTCTACTGGGAGATTATGTACATACAAGCATAAAAAAGCAGTAATATATGTACATCTATGTATTAAAGATGTAAAATTGTAAATGTTATTGTTATCTGAGTTTATGTAATATACTTTTGATCATGCAATTGGGCCAAACAACTTGTCCGGCATATAAGGTGTAAATATGATGAGTGTTTGGATGCAAAAATAATCTGCTATGCATAGGTGTACCAGCAATAAAACATGATGCATCTTTTGGATATGGGCTTTGTCATTTTAGGTACAGTATGCAACTTCACTCTTCATTGTATATGTACATCTGAAAGCTTATTTTATTGATTTTGCTGTGATATCATCTGTTTGGGCCCAGAAGAGCGTTAACTCGTATTCTTCAACACAGAGTTAATGCCCTTCTGGCTCCAGACAGATAATATTATTATGTCCTTTTTTTATTTGTAAGGGATTTGAGGGTCATGATTTTGCATGTTAGTGAATTTTCATGTTCTTTGCCAAAAAATGTACATTTATACAATTCTTTAAATAATGAAGGTGAAATGAAGTTTAATATATTGCGTTAACTATCATACATGTATATTCTTCACTGTGAGTGAACTCTATATAATTATGTACCATCTTAAGTTTAAGTGCTTATAGGTTGTCCATGAGGGGCCTTATGTCATAAATGAATTAATGTGCCTTTTTTCAGCTTTGGGAATTTGAAATGGATAGCCCCATCGCTCTGATTATTTAAATGAAGAAACTAGAATACGTTATACCCAAGTCATACCAAAGAGACCAACTCCAGACTTTTCCAGACTGAACAAAAGATACATTACACTGAATGGTAAAAGAATCAGTCGGTTTGGGATCGGTGTTGAGTAGGGTTAGCAGTGTGACTGAGGTATGATCTGGCCAGAGATATGTTGTGAATAATTTCAAATGTATGCAGTGTTGACCATTGTTAACCAAATATCGTCCCTATTTTCACGAAGTGACGTTAGTGAGGAAAATCGTAACGCAAAGTGAATGCAATTTTTTTTCACTACCGTCACTTCGTGAAAACAGCGACGATATGTGCCTTCGATAAAGTGTGCCTTACCAGTCTTGAAATTTATACAGAATTGCTTTAAATAATCATTAAATAAAATATATTCCAAAATAAATATATCTTACACTTATATAGAATGTGACCTTTTGGTATATTTTGTCGTGTTTTTCCCCCCATCAATCCATTTTCCTCTGATTTTTTCAAATTGAGGGCCATCTTACTTTCTACACCCCCCCCCCCCTTTGTGTACTCTCTGTCTCTCTTTAACACTTTCTTTCCAAGACTCTGATACCTCTACAAACTCTTTACCTACATGTATGTCCCTTCTTGTTCACACTCATAAACCATGTCCACTGCCAACTCTCGTGTCTTTTTTGGTAATATGGTCCTATTTTACACACTAACTAGCACATTTCTATTACCCTCATCTCTGTTGAGGTTCCCATTATAAAACTTTTCTCGTGATTTTCTTTTCCTTCAATACCTTTAACTACATATGCGACATCGTCTCTGCAAGGAATTACATATTATTTGATGGACCAAAAAAAAACACAATCAAGAAATAGGATGAAATAAATATTTTTTTTTTTTTTTTTTTTTTTTGGGGGGGGGGGGGGGGGGGGACTTCCTGTACAGGGACTGCTGGTGTGACGAGCTATCAACAATTATCAGTTGATACCTAAACTGGCTATTGTTTGCAATTGCACAATATATACAAAAACAACAAAAAATGTGATTTTCAATTCATTTATTGGTTCTCCTTATCACATAGGGAAATAGATAAACCATATAATTACAAAAATATTGCTCTTTTAATTTCATAGTACAAAGTATCAAACATAAACGAACCAAAAATAACCACTGACACAGTATACATAATTCAGTACACCCTGTATAGCTTTAAACTATCTTGGCAATCTTTCAATTACTGATTTGCATTTTTATAAAAAGCAAATCCAAATATAAAAATACACCAGTTTCTATTACACGATACAATAATTTAGTTTTTGTATAACAGGCCCTGTAGGATCTGATCTATCTTAGTCATATATATCAACATATTAGCTTTCCTTTTCTGGCAAAACTACTAAATGCTCTGAGTTGAGATGAATTTAGACATTTGGAGAACCTCAAATAGGCAATACATGGACTACTTCTCTATCCTTCAATTTTTATTTTTTCTCGCAAAGTAGCCTCTCCTCATTTTTAATGGGTGGACATGTAGACTATACCTCTTCAAGCTTTAATTGAGACATTACTTATGAGATATTATCGATATTAAAGGATGGCACGATTGCAGGCAGTTTCTATTAAAGTGCTACTATTAATAGTTTCATACAACAATTGACATATTACATGTCTGATAATATAACAAAGTCCTCATATATTCAAATCAATTCAAAACATAATAGATCACATGTATCACACGCCTAATACTTTGTTTCTAGGCGCAGTATATATTATTACATACATTTAAAAAATCTGATCTACATTCAGATTCTCACAATCAGATATGAATTAGCTAGCTTACTGAAATAACAGTCATAATTTTTGTATGAGATGATAGACAAGAGTGAAGAGCTCTATGTTTACACATTTCTTATTACTGCATCGCTTAATATCATGATCCTTACAATCATATGAGAGAGTAAAGCAAAATATAATAATTACAATGTAGACAAGGCCATCACTAGACGGGATGTAACGACTCCCCAAATGTTCCGTCTGCCAATTAATGTTCTCCATACATTTGATTGATGGAAATATTAATGAACTTGATGAGAAATTTGGTCAAACACTTACTATTCAAAACAGAGTAGTGACACCCATGAATAAACATATATCACTTACGTAATGTTCCACTTTTCCCTCAAATTGTTCAATACATACATGCCTTTCAGACAGTTTCTCACATCTTTTCAAAGACTAGATTAAATTATCTAACAACATTGTCTATCAAGCCAAAGAATGATACAATGACGACATCACTGCATGGTACTTGAAGCAAGATGGGTAACTAATTCATATTACATATTTGATGCAAGTCCAGAGACCGGTGCACTTGTCTTGACTAAGCCTTGAATCTGCTTGAACTTTGGATGGTCCTTGTCTCCTAGCAACTGGAAGAGTACCGATTCACTGGTCGTGATGATGGCTCCAAACTGACGTAACCTCTGTGATGCAAAATCAAGATGATACATTGATTCATTATAGCATTTAAATGACTAAATCATGTAATTATAGTAAAAATCTATTGCAATGTAATATAGATGCAAATGACTGTTGCTTTATAAGAGTTACTACGATACCAAAAGCAAAGAAGAAATTTGATTAAAATTTGACATCCTTTAATAAGCTTGATTTTGATATGTTACCAAAATAGGTGTTACAGGGTGTATTGGCATTTGGAAACATGCATTTGGAAACATGCATTTAGGCTAAAAATATTCATTCCTAACTCCTGACTCCTAGATATCTACTTTTTGTTTTAAAAAAGGAGAATAATTTACAATTACAATCGACACAAAAGCATAAATATGTACAAATATTTTGGGAATGAAAAAAGAATGAAAACCCAATTAACTTAGGAATCTCAGTAAAAAAGAAAAATAAGAAGAACAAGAAGAAGAGAAAAGAAGAAGAAAGAACTGACCTCATAGGCAAATTGTCTGTCCATCATACTCCTTGATGAGACTGCATCAGCTACCACATGAACCTCATACCCTCTGGCTAAGAGATCTAAAGTGGTCTGCTGGATACACACATGGGCCTGTATAAAGTCAAATCAAACCAAACCATATCATTTTATTGACACTGATCCATAAACAAAAGCGAGATACAATCATATGCTACTACATTATCATACTCGTTGGCTATAAATCATAGATCTCAGGCTAAGTAGTGAAACAAAGATGAAATCAAAGCTACCTTACTATTCCTCTTGTGGAAAGAAGGACATTTTCAGTTAGAGGGATAAATGCATTTCTGTTTTGTTTGTTTGTTTTTGGTATCATTGGTGTGAAAGTCATGTTTCTTAAAATCAGAACTTTGTAATAAGTGCCCCCTACAAGATTGCAGGTGAAAAAGTTGTGGCTCAAGTTTCAATCTGTGATTGATATGGGTTCTCCTCAATTAAATCTATCAATCATTTTTTATATGATCGTGAAACTGGTTTGAAGCTACAGACACTGAATCCCCATCCAATTATATTGAAAAGGTAATGTTCAAACAACATGATATCCTTCGTTAAGGTGACTCAGTAACATTGCCTCAGATGTTGAAATAAAATCCTGCATTTAGCTCATGCTGCAATCATAATTATGAACCTTTAGGTCAGTCAGGAATCCCATGACTTTTACAAGCAGATCGCCTGTCTGATTATCAAGATATTTATGATTGGAAATCAAAATTTCATTTTTTCGTTTACCTAACAGTTTTTTATAAAGTCTATTGGGGAAAATGAGTATGGTAAAACCGGTCACTCAAAGATTTTTACTTTTTTGAGGCACTTCTTGATCATTTTGAAGTGCAATTTTGTAGGGTTTCAATAATACACCATATCACAGATACTGATAACACGTAGGGCCATGCATCTCAGATTCAACATTGTTAAACGATGCCTTTAAGTAATTAAATTTCATGTCTCTCTTCCTCACCTCGATTCCAAGAAGAATGATGGATTTCACATTGGTCAGATTTTGGGTGAGCTGTGCTTCAACTTCTGGAACGACCATAGAGAATTTGGTCTTCGGATAAACACCAATAGCTTTACTGATATCCAGCTCCTCTACAGTGTGTCCAAGTCCCTTTGGGTACTATGTAGAGGTAAATAAAAACTTTAACAAATGCATTACAACATTGGTGAAACAAATCACAGAATGAAAATGGTTACTAGTAACAGCGTACTTCAAATCATCGGGTCATCGCGTCCAGTCGGATGAATGTGTTACACATAGATTTGCTGTAGGATTTTCACAAAGTAACGGGTGAATTGGACCAGACCATTTGTACATGAGAGGGGTTTATTTCACAAACATTACCCGTGACATTTTGTGAATAACGGGGCATGTTTTCACAAAAGGTCGGGTAACGCCACCGCCCCACCCGACACGAGGATTTGAAGTAAGCCCTGGTAACAAAGGATCAACTTGCATGAATAAGAAGTTGTACAATATTATCAGTTGGATAGCCAGGTACAAACTAAAATGGAGTTGGTTACCTTTACATCTCATTTGACATACCGGTAACTTGAATTAAGGACATTATGTCAACAAATTTAAATGGTTAAATGTCAACATTTTGTAAAAGAACCAATAACAAGCAAAATTGAATATACTTTTTAATGTTATCATCACATAGATTTCTACAAACGGGTTTAGCATGCTACCATGCTAAATTTTTGTTTTTGTTTGTTTTTGTTTTTGCCAAAACAGTCTAATGTATCTTCCATCTCATACCTGCTCTGTTACAATGACTGGTATAGCCAAGATGTTGGCTCCTTCAATCTGCATGAAAAAGAGAAGAAAAAGAACAGGATTTGAATATTCTTTGATTCCAGCTCAAAACAGAACATATACAAAATACAGAAAGGACATACATGTACATGGACATGAACTAAATCACAACAGGTGTTGGGGTGGAGAGGGAGTTAGCTCAGTTCATTTAGATGAAATACAAACTTGCAAAGTCATATATTTGATTACTGATTATTCAAGGATGGCAAACCAATGGTTCTTCTTCTTCTTCTTCTTCAAGATAATCTGCCTCCTTCAATACTGAATATTCTTGCAGATGCCGTATACTCGGCCTGGTTGGGGTATGCAAGTGGATCATTACACCGGGGTTTCCCCCTACTCTTATACGAATAGTGCAATGGGTTCTTAACGTGCAATGGTGGTGACTCTCCTGTACACGGGGCCTCCATTTAACATCCTATCCGAGGGACAGAGAGTTTTCCACTTGACATAACCTGCATCTATGAACAAGGGAAGGGGTACGTTAACACACAACGCAGGCTTTAGTCATCCGCCTGGGTGGGAGTCGAACCCGGGATCTTTGGTTCGACAGGCAGACCACTTTACCGACTGAGCCAACTCGCCTCCTTAATGCTAAGCATTCTCATTGACAGTGACAGTTGAAAACATACAAATTAGGGTGCTAATGCACTTTCACACCAGTCATCTACATTTTAAAACATGATATAGTTTTTTCTGTGAAATAAGGTGCAGAGAAAAGACCTATCTTAGTGTGAAAATCGTGATTCTGGAGAAAATATATATATCAGGTGTACATTAGGCCAAGTAAAAATGGTTCCTAGAGGACCTAGTTTCTTGTCCTGCCTGCCTCCTTTTTTTGGGGGGGGGGGGGGGGGTTGACTAGCTATCAACAACAAAAATTCTTCTATTCTTTTCTTGGTCTTGATTAAAAAAAAATTCCTCTTTTCCACATCAGCAACACTTACTATGGTGGTGCGACCATCATTCACGTGTGACCTACATTATAAGTCCGCCAACTCAAAAAATCTGATATCACCAATGGAAAGAGGAACATAAAATTACCCAAAGAGGGAATTTTCTTCGAAACTGGGGATGAAATTATGAAAATGTTGACAAAAGATCGGATAATTTTGCAGACATTTGCGTCTGTTCCAAAAAATTATTTACTTACCGATTAGGCTATAAGGGTCTGGAAATCTTAATTTTGAGAGCAGATATCTTCAAAATTGTAAGTAAAAAGTGGTAACAAATGATTGTATGAAATTACCTCATTTTTGATGGATGGCTCTTTTACTATAACGGCTGTAAACCCCCATACGCCAAGAAAGGCCTCGTTGTTTATATGATTTTTTTTAGATGCAGCGCTGAGCGCACACGCTGATCCAAAAATTGATTGAAACAAATAAATTTGTGTAGCATATAGTCTATAATATGAGAAATCATAAATTTAATATCACATTTTCTAATATTTTCAAAAATCCCTGTTAATCTTGGTCACCTAATCATACATACATAGTGCCTAGTGACTAGCCTTGACTTTGACTGAGTGGCTATACTATAGTCTATAGAGTATGAAGGGGTGACCAAAGTTCGCGGACATTTTTTAACATATTACAAAATGTGATATTCGATCTCTCATATTCTACACAAATTCTGCGATCAGTGCTTGAAAAACACCCCTAGTTAAGGAAAATATCGACGCCGCCGTATAGCTGGAAAAGACACCCTTTCGCCGCTTTTTCTGGACGCGGGCGCGTAGTCAGTCATGTTGGGAGTGACCTGGGCACTCCAGCAAAGCATAGAGTCAATGTTAAGGCGTATTGACCTCTAGCACTGCATACTTGCTGTGAGGCAGGTATTATTAGACCTATACACACAATATTCACACCACACAATATTGCATAGACTGCACACAATCATGCCGATGCCAGGATAGTGATGCTCTTATGTTCGACCGAATTTTCCGTCTCTTTCGTTCGTTAAGCCTCTTATTTGGGTAGAACGAAAGAGACGGAAAATTCGGTCTACTCCTATGTGTGCCCAGTGGTGGTCAATCAATGTTTTTCTATTTTAAAAGTTTTTAGTCTAGAGTCTAGTGTAGGCCTAGATCCTTTTAACAGAATTAACACAATCACATTTAATTTAAGGCAGTGCAATAGTACACTTAGGCCCAAATTAGAGCCATAATCAAAGTTGCAGTAAGATCAAACTCCCAATCCTGTCTCCTAACCTGCTCCCAACTGCAGTTTCCTATCTACTAAGAAATCCACCGCGGCACAGCCATCAGCACCAGGAACTGTTCCCGAAACTTTTGGCTTTTCAGAGGCTCTATTAAACCCAGTCCCATATGCTTCACTTTACGTTTGAAATCATAAACTGTCAACACTTACGAGTCGTTTGGCCACAACTGCTATATCATCAAAGTATTTAATGGCCGGTTTAAATCTCTCTTGCATGTCACACACGAACAAGGCTGCTGTTTCAGGTGATATATTACCAAAAGAAGTTTTTTGAGCCATGATTTCAGAGTTCGACTTCGAAGTTTGTCAAAGCTTTACAATAGCCAACCACAGGGGGCGAACTTTCTCAAACTAGCGCGGTGGTGCACCACTGGTAGAGTCAGTGGAGTGCACCAGCAAAACTTGCACTTTTTGGAGAGAAAAGGGGGCACAAAGAGTAACCTTAAAGCGAAAATTACAATCTTAAGACACTGTATACAGCCCATGCAGCCTTACATTGTAATGAATACATTATCAGGGATGATCATCACGATTTCTCTTTACGTTGTCCAAAGAAACTGCATTAGTACGCTACTTAAATGTTGTGTGTAATGATGGTCTGAAAATTCAAGCAAAAAAGAAGTTTGAGGTAAAAAAAAAAACTTGAAAAAAGTAAAATAAATCAAACTATGCACCGATATGTCATACTTCAATTCTTTGTACATGTATTGCTATATTGATTTTTAAAAAACTTTCCAATCATAAATGCATGTAAATTTAGGAAAGAGTTGTTCGCAAATTAGATGTAGGCCTATTTGTATTATATGCACTTCCAATTAAGTTGATATAGTTGATTGGAATTAAAGTATCTTGTAGAGTAAACCATACATTTATTGGGAAAGCCCGATCATGCTGTGATATATATTTTTAAGTAGATCCTATTTTCCTATTTCCAGGTTCCAGAGCTCTCACTTGAAGGACGAGGATCATGGAACATAAAAGGCCTCCCTATTAGCCATGAGTGTACTCAAGTAAACACGTAGCACTAGTGAGGTAGGAAACTGTCAGAATTGTAGCAATATCCTAAGTTTTATTCATTCTTAAAAACCAATAACTACTTCAATCGGGCGGTTCCTGTATTAAATTCATGGGGAATATGATAATTCAGTAGTTAATGGGTTAACCCTAGTTTGGGTTTGCAGTAAGAGCATTTCGAAAGCATACCCTGCTTCCCTCACTTTTAAAGGTATGTCCATTTTGCAGCCAACCTCAAATTCTGTAGAACTTTGCAGGAATTATGAATATGTCATGTATGTCCTATCTGTGAAATTTAAACGTTAGCAGTGCCCTCATATTCAAATTATGCAAGGAAATCCGTTTACTTGCTAGACTTCACTGTTAGACACTATTGAGTGACTGACTGGCTTTTTCTTCTTTGGTAATAACATACATGAAAAGAGTTGTAAAGGGTACTTTTGTCTACATCAATAACCCACTTCTTGTGATGGCCAAGATTAAACTGATTGAATCTTTGCGCAGCATAAAACGTATGACCATTCGGTACAATTGTCTGAAAGTCAAGACTATTACTTTTGGGCTCTATAGCCCTAAAGTCGATTTGACAACTAATAGTCGTTATTTTCCCACTTGAAGACATTTTCAAGCCCTACCTTTTTAGGGAAGTTCTAAATTAGTATTATCTTTCAAATGCAGTTGGAATTTAACTTTTTCATTTTTTTGGCCTGCAAATGGAACATAGTACCTTTAACATAACTTTTTTTTCCTGTAACAGTATGATTGTGTTTGCCAATTAAATAGAATAATATAGTCAATTAAACCTTCATCATGTTCATTAAAAAAAGTAGATTAACACTGCAGGTACCAAGATTAAATTGTGAATGTGAACTTTTTATCAAATGGTATGTGTTTATTATGGTGACATAAAGACTAAAAATGTTACAATGTATTATTTTGTCAAACTCTATTGAATAATGATTGGTATAGCGCCCTCACTTGCATCCACTGTATATTTTAGGAGCTCCTCCTTTTATCTGTTACAAGCCAAATGTTGAGGAGACAACGCAGTGCTCCTCCCCTGTATACAGGGGCGGCAGAGCGACTTCCAAAGTGTGTGTGTGTGGGGGGGGGGGGGGGGGGGGGAGGCACCAACAAAAAAGGGAACTTTCTTGAGAAAAAAAATGGCAACTACAAAAGGAAATTCCAAAGAGAAAATGTACAATTTTGTAGACGATGGTATAATATACCCCTTATACCTCTATAGCCTACATTGTGATTACATTATCCTGGGATGCTTTCTATATTTGTTTCTCTCTATACATCATACAAGATATTGCATCATAATTTGAAGTGATGGTCTAAATATTCATTTGCGAGCGAGGAAAAATGTTAAGATTTGTAAGGTAGCAGTGCGAAATATTACATCTTATAAACAGGAAAAAACCCAATCCTGATGGGGTTATAAGCACATTCTAATAATGGAAGACTGAAAAGACCTTTGATAAGTAACATAATTATATCACCTATAATATTAGTGAGTGTAGCGAGCAAGCTTCTTGGGAAACTGCTCTTAGTCTTTTTAAATTAGGGGCAAAGGAAAAGGAAGAGGGGACACTTATCAAAAAAGGATAAGACACCTATCAGAAAAGAAAAGGAGCACGTGTCAAAGTACAAAAGGGTAATTATCAGAGGTGAAAATAGGGCACTTATACCTAAAAAGAGGTACTCCTCTCGGGATGAAAGAGGCACTTATGAGAATGGTAAATGGGCATTTTTCGATGGAAATGGGGCACCCATCAGATTTTTATAGGGGCATTTGTAAGAGGTAAAACGTGGGCATTTGTGAAAAGGTTTTTTTTCTACTGCTTCAGTTACAATAATTTCTCTGCTAACTTCTGAGCTCTATCCTACATGACAGCATTAAGTTCTTGCCTCTGTTACCATCCCATCTCTATTTCCTAGGATCCTACCTTTACCAAGGAGTTGCTCTGTGATAACTCCTTGGCTTTGCTAACATTTCTGTCTCCAATTATCCAAATTTTACTAACACCCCGCCCCTTCCAGTCTCATACTTTAACGAAAGGAATGATCATATATAGATCAATATAACATGAAAGAAAAACATAGATGTACCTTTAAACTTTTGTCCAGTATTAATGTGGATGCATATTTAGACCTGTCTTCGAACGAAATTCTTGACTGTGGCATCTGAGTATGATGCATTCAGAAAATTAATGGACACATCATGGGAGGTACAAGTCCCCAAATCAGATTATAGATGATACCAAGGAGATTGCAGGAGCTCACCTCCATCAATCTCCTTGATTTTGACAAAGATACAAAGCAAAATGCTTATGAATAAGCTAGGGTAAGATGTGAACAATTCAAATCCCGGGATTCAAATACCGGTATTGGAAAAATGAAAGATGCAGACCACCAGGAATCGTAATGCCCAGTGTTTTTATCATTTTTCTCCTAATCTTTATAGTTTTGACCGGCGTCAGAACCTCCTTAAAAACACCTGCGCGTCTTGGAAGAACTCTAATTTGTTGGTATAATATCAAATCCCAAGCACAAGTTGTGCGATGCTTCAGATCTTCGGGTTATCATGACTTCGGCGGCCACACCCACCACACCCTTTTTGATACAGCTGGCCTGGCAAAAGCAGCCTAGTTTAAGATTCACGATAATCATTGTCACTAATTAATTGTCAGGTCTTTGAAATCTTACCCCTGAGCCTGGTTCTTCGTTTTGGACGTTACATGGGTGATTAATACAAAGGGGACAAGAGAAAATATTACATATCATGATGATAAAAGATGCGAAACTCTAGTTAATTCACAGCGCCGGACTGTCATCAGTCTGTGTAGACCCACTCGTTGATGAACACGTACGCTTTGACGGCAAGTCCTGATTTTCGGGGGGAAGAAGTCAACTTTTTGGTCGCCGCCGCCGTGGTGAACATTAGTTCGGTAAGTAACATCATGAGTAAGGTCTGTAAGCAGATGATGTATTAAAATATCTTAAAAGTCAATCTATGTTTTCAATAGATGATAAATATGATGCGGGGGGGGGGGGGGGGGTGAGGGGGCAATTGTATATTTTGTTTATTTATCAACTCAAAACTAAATGCACTAAATTGACTTACACCATCCATCTCGTTTCATCCCCCCCCCTCTTTTATCACTCCCGTTTTGGCTTCTCTCACGTTTCTCCCCTGTGATAATTTTTATTATAGTGCATAACCATTAATAATAACAAATACTGGACTGCCAAAATAATCTTTGCAGGGTAATATGTAATTTTTATTTAGTTCTGTTTTGAATAAAATTGAAAAAGTGGTGGGCAAGACATTGTAGTAATTAACTTAGATATGGCCAGGTAGATTTAAAACAGAATATTTATATCACTGACAAAAAGGGGAAGATCCTGAATTTGACAGGGAGGGGAGGGGGCATATGCTTCTTGTGCCCCCCCCCCTCTTGAATCCAATCCTGATTGGGCAAGCAATTGAATGATATTTATTTCCCTGGCTTGATGATAGAACTGATCTCTCCCTTTCAACAGATTAATTACAAGGTCTTTAAAAAAATTCTGTCAGACCCATATTTCAAAATGTTTATTAGATTAATCAGGCCCTGAACCATTTTGATGTGGACGCATTTTTGCACACATTATTTTGTTGTCTCAATTGCTTCAATAACCCCTCATGGAATACCAAGTATTTATGTTTGATTGAAGGCTTACTTACCTCAAAAGCCATGTGAGGTCTAATAACGACTCCATTAATTTGTTGTTTATATTATGTAAGAAGCATTACCTGTTAAGAACATGAAAAACTGTGGTTGGATGCTACTGATCAGGCTTCTTTCATCATGTATTGACAAAAGGTTTGTTGAAGCTTAGCTTTCAGAGCTATTCAACCACAAGTGGGTGGTCTCGAGGCACTCATCAAATCTTTTATTTTCCATAATTTGGCTTCTTGACAAATACGTTTGTTTAGTCTGTAGTGTGATGATCACTAGATATTGTTGCTTTGAAAAGGAGACACACACACCCTCTTGCATGCCTCGCTTACATGTACCTGGGGATTTGGAGAATGAATGTTTTTAGTGAGCATACCATACAGGTGCCCACATTCAAACAGTGAATCTTGATCAATTATGACCATACCACCATGAATTCTGATTTACACACAATTTATTCTCCCTCTCTCTCCCTTCATCTATCCTTCTTCTTCTTCTTCTTCTTCTTCTTCTTTTTCTTTCCCTCTCTCTCTTTCACCCTCTCTCTTTCTTTCTCATTCTCCCTCCCTCCCTCACTCCTGCTCTTGATCCCCTTCTCCCTCTACATCAAATGCACACCAAAACAAAAAGAAGAAGAAGAGAACTAGATTGTAGAACAAAATTTCAGCACATTGTACTTTCAAGTACATTGAGGAAGTATTAACCATCTGCATTATTATCTCCATTATTATCTCCATTATTTGATTTACTTAATTAATTTTTTTTAAAGACAAAATAATCTGTAAAAACATCTGAACATTTTTATGCAGCTACATCCACATCCTTATTGTTTTAAACTTAAAACAAATTTTTCTCCAGTAACTCCTTACAGGTGCTTATATCCTGTACAACATCTATTTAAGGTTCTTAGTTAATAGTTATTGAATGTCATCTCACAATGGGTGAATTTGATTGTTATTGTTTTGAAAGCAAGTTTCTTAAATAATTCCTCATAGGTCTCTGAAAATCAATGATATTGCCTTTTGACCAAGTATGTAATACATGGGCTAAGTTGAGGTCCCATGAAACACTGCTATAATATATCTTATTTTCTAGAGCATTGGTGAAAAATATATTCATTTCACAATGAGTGAGTTTGAATGCAATCCATTGCAATGAAGCCAGTCTGTTCAGTAAAAATCAAAGAGGTTTATTCTGATCATTTAACCAAGCTCTGTTTGGGATTGGAGTTGGTAATTGGGCATGAAATGTATATTGATTCACCTAATCACTCAGCCTTGTACCTTTTAATAAACTTTTGTCATTTAAGTTCAGCTGGGGGTCATGCACTCATCGCTTTCATCTCTAGTAGTACAAGGAAAATGTCCAATTTAAGAATTAAATTTCAGCAAATTTGCATCTACTCTGTTATATATATTCACCTGTGCTTGCTACAATTCTTGAGAATTTTATCCTTGATCAAGAAAAATTGCATAGTCTGTACAAAGGATGAACTACCGATACTCTGCAGCATTGTTTCTCTAGCTCAGTAAAGTGTTGAGTAAATTTGATCCCTAGGGTTAGCATCCCAAATATTACCCCAGGAGACATTATTCAATGTTCACTGTTAACCTTTATTGATGTGATCAAGAACAGCTGACTCCCTTTACTTCACAAATTGCCGACAATCCTGGTTATTATGAAGCATACGGATCGCTGATTGATCTCCCTATCCCTGGAGGTTGACGACCATCTCAACTCAACATGAAAGCATCATCACTCTCCCTAAATCACACATAGTATATTTCATTTTTCATTTTCTCTTATTGTGTTTGCCTGCTCATGAGAATTTATCCCCTAATGGAAAAAAGGCTTTTAAAATTTAAAGAACACAAATTGTATCTGTAATGGTTTTTACCACGCTGCGATGGGTGCCACTTTGAGTTATATTTCAGATCAATACCGGTATGTGGAATAATGCATTATATTTTTATTTCATGTTATTATTTTACTATCAATAATTTTCAAGTGCAATTTTTCATATATATAATCTGTCCTGATCAACTTCAAACATATTTGGGTTGCTAAAAGAACTCTGTCCTTTGTGTGGGCTTTTATGACATATATGGAAGGAAGGTTGAAAATCGATGGAACGGCTCTGGCTGTAATTCATTATTTGTTAATGTTTTTTCTTGACTTTTGTTCTTGTAGTTTATTATTTTTAAGCCATTCATAACACTCCATTAATAGGAGGTTGGTCTTTGTTTGGGGATCAATGTGTATAAACTTGGTTGGACAAAAAAACCCAGGAAACCTATTAAGCAAGCTTGCAAGGTCAATTCCATTCATTGGACAAAAAGGATATTAAAGACCTTTTGAATGTAACAGAAACTGAAATCTAAGAGGAATAACCAAATCTTCTGTGACATAACCTTGTAGTAACACCACAGGTGTGCTGCTGCCCCCTGTTGATCACTATTGGGTAAGGCATGGAATGGCTGGTCAGAGAAACTCAATAGTATGGTCAACCTGGTATTGGTTAGGTCCTGTCGTGATACTTCTCTACAGCTGCATTTACACTGCAAGGAAGACCACATTCTCTCTCATTCCGGTGTTTTGTCGGAAGTTGCTCAGTCACTACCCCAAAACACAACGAAAAAACCCATGTTGAAAAAATACCTCTGGAGTGTTTTTCTGAAATGAGAAACTTCTCAGGTCTTTTGCCATGTAAATGCTCGCTCTAAAAAAACTGGAGAATCATTCTGGTATTTTGGTCACATGAATCTCCTCGCTTCCATGCTAATGCATGCAGGGCAGCGATAGGTGGCGCATATATGCACAACTTACCCCCCACCGCCCTCCCCCTCCCCCCTCCCCCTCCCCCCTCCCCCCTCCCCCCTCCCCCCTCCCAACCCCCAAAAAATTATTGAACACTCTTATGGGTTTTTCCGGTAGTGTAAATGGCAGTAATAAAAAGCAATGATTTACAAAAATTGGGTTGTGTAAATGGACCTAATGTTCTTGTTTCCTGGTATTCTCTGTAATAATCGTGAAAAGCCTACATCGTAAAAAAGAAAAGAAAAAAGAAGAGAGTGGAATTTAAAAAGAGATTATGCAGTCTTCCATGATAAAGATATTTGTCCTAATGTCATCAGGTTAGTAGGTCCCTGGGATGAGTGTATAAAGAAATGGTTCTGTCTTTTTGCATACACTGTAGCTATTATAGCTGTATTATTTATGAATCTTTTGTTCAAGTGAGATTATTCCTGAAGAAAAGTTTTTTTTAATTTTAGTGTACCGGTAGCTCCTTTCCTATTTTAAAAGTCTGCATGATCACTTTGGCCCGAATTCACAAAGGAGGTTTAAGTTTAACCCACGATTTATTATATTTAAACCTCCTTTGTGAATCTGGCCTTTAAGTTGGAGGATTGGTCAAAGCCATAGTTCAGGGGAAATAATCTTTTCCTGGCACATTTAGTTAGTCTCATGAGGCAAGACTAAGATGATTATTAAAGTCCCTTCGCTTTGATCAGATTCTAGAAGCTATAATGAGATGGGATTATCTGTGTAGCATGGCGGATCTGTTTTCCTCTTTCAACACACACCATTTCCTGTTGGAATTACAAATTCTTTTGTTATTCCTAGGAGCTTTTCAAGACAATTCTAACTCCTTAGCTCTTCGAAGAATTCATCAACTTGGATTGAACGGAATCTGTTCATGAGCAGAAACACAATATATTTTATTAGTGCTAGCTAACCCCTGGAACTAATAATCAGCATGTGATTTCTTTGGAGGCATTCGAGCCCAAACTTTACTTAAAATGGAAATGTATGACAACTTTTTTTTTACCCATGCAACTTATGTCAACACTCTGCAATTAATGTGGTTCCTCCAAACAAGAGATTGGTATTGTTTTTTTCTCCTCTGTTGACCTAGTTAAGAATATCTACTGTGTGTTTGGGTTGCCACCTAGTTCTTCAGACAAGGCTAGACTTGGTGGTCAAAGCCCAGAGGCAGACTGAAACTTTCATAGCTAGGGTCCACGCTTTACTTTGAACTTCTGAAAAGTATACCCTTTCCATTCAGTTTGGAGGAAGCATCACTGCATTGATGTTGGTTAGGCCTGCATCCCAGAGCAGAGTCTCACATATTAGGAACTTTTAGATTGAGTGGACGAGAACTGCGTGAATGTCCATGCTTGTCAATGGCAAGGCGTTTTAACATATATTCCTATTTCTTGATATCA